GTGTAGAAAAGCTTTAATTCAGGAGAGCCATTATGTGTAGAAAAGCTTTAATTCAGGTCACTGAAAGCCCAAAACCTCTCTGCCCCCTTTGTCTGGACGGCTCCGGCAGGGGTGACCAAGACAGTCCCTGCTGACCCAAATTTGGGGGGGGGGGGGGGGGGGGGGGGGGTGGATCAGCTGTGTATCTCAGCCATCAATTCATTAGTGTGTGTGGTGGTGGTGGTGGTGGTGGGGGGGGGGGGGGGGGGGGAAATGAAGAATACAACCTCTGTGACAGACGGAGAAAGTCACTAGATCTCCAGGACCCACTTGACCTAGAAAGACACACACACACACACACACACACACACACACACACACACACACACACACACAAACACACACACACACACACACACACACACACACACACACAGGTGCAAAGATACTCACCAGGGACCGTACCCTCTCCGTGTCTCTGTGACCAGCTGATCCCCCGCCGCAGCAGCCACCCCCCGTCAGACCCGTCCATGCCCTCGATCACCCTCTCACCCCCGTCTTCTCGTTCTTTTTGGTTTTCTCTGCTCTTTTTTGAACTTTGATTATCCTAAAACGCATTTCCTGTTTATATGTCTCCATATTAATCCCACATTCATGTCTCACCCTTGTAGAACGCATGAGCACACATGTAAGGAAAACAAACATGTGACCTTTATCGTTTCTGATTTAGTTTCATTTCCAAGCCACATTGTGGGATTTGACACAGCGTAGACCACTGAAGGCCTTGTTCTCAAAAGCAGAGGGTTTTAACGTCAAGTTCAAGGTATTTAAGTGATTTTCATTCAGCATTATCTATGCAAAACTGCAGAAGGAGTCGCAGTTACACAAAGATAATTCACATGAGTTATCTCATCATGCATCTTGATTTTTGCACAAAAACAGATGGTGGGTTCAAAGTGGGAAACATATGTGGTACACAAAATGATTCCAGTTCAAAATTAGAAGTTGTTCATGAGGGGCGAAGGGAAGGTGTTGTGATCCGACACCAAACCGGTCTCATCCACAGTCACCAAGTCTGGCCTTGCTTGCGCAAATCCAGATGTTTATCCTGATCGGGCAGCCGCAGCATAAACCATCTGTTCCAGTGAGTTGATGAAAACGACAAAACAACGGTGTGACCAACACCTGTCAGCCTCCTTTCTGGGCCAAGAATGATACATTCTGGATTGTTTTGCCTGAGAGTAGCAGCCACAGGCTTTGTGGCCTTCTGTGGGCTGCGTCCCACCTGCCATAGATTCTTGTTTGAGTCCTGCGTGGAGAGAAGGCTTTAAAAGCTTTACTCTGAAGGGCATGAGCTGAGTCACCTGAGAACAGCAACAACAGCGCAGTTCCCACAATGGGAAACTGAAACCATTACCTCCACAGGTGTGGAGATTTTACGCAGTTGATACGAAACATGTTCATGAGGTTCTTTGCACTAGATCTCTCTGACAACAGTTTTATTCTTGACATTTTCAGAATGCGCCGTTTAAGGGCTGTGTCCCTTTAAGAAGACAAGCTGAAGCTGACCCCCCCCCCCCCCCCCCCCCCCCCCCCCGCACGCGCTCAGGCTGCTATAGGCTCAGAAACTCCTATATCTGGGAGGGGCTCAGAGTAGAGTTGCTGCTCCTTCAGCAGCATATCTCTGCAGGAGGGAGGTGGTTCTATTCTAAAAAGTCCCAATTTGTGACATCACAAACTGGGACTTTTTGAAAGTGCTTGTTTTAGGCACATGATTGCTAAAACCAAACACTGACAGAAAACAAATGGATGGATGTTTTTTTCCATGTTTGGAGTGTTTATGGAGGCAGTAGAGGCTCACACAGCAGCACAAAAATGATGCAAAAATTAGCATCATTTGGCAGCTTTTAAAGCAACTTTTTTTCATCGTGGAATAAACGAATAATGAAAATTGTGCATGAATGTTTCTGTTTCTATCTTCTCATGTTCCAGCTTCAACAAGAGACTATGATTAACAACAAACGGGCGATGGAAAACAACAGAGTAGATAAAATGCCATGTCACTGCCTAGGTCAGGAAGGATGGACGCTCTGCATCTGCAGGCTGTTCAAAGCTGGCAGAGAGGACTGAGGCGTCTTTGATGAAGGACAGAGGGAAAACACTCAGCAGAGGAAGAGGAGGAGGAATTCTGCACACACAAAGAATTAAGTTTCACTGTTTCTTAATTATCCCCCTCTCCATGACTAGCCTGCACTTGAGGACGATGAAAAGGACTCTCCATGACAGTTTGGCTTGTCCTTTGCAACACGATTCCCTCTCTGCTGATGTCTAAGAAAAGGTGTTCATGAGTTAAAATAAGGAGTCAGATCAGCAGCTGTGGTACCCATGAGGTCACCTCTTGCAGAAAGCGCATTTATTACCTTTGAAGTGGGTGGCTGTAAATAAAATACAATGGGTTCGAATTTGAGGGGAGAGAGAAAGAGAAAGAGAGAGAGAGAGAGAGAGAGAGAGAGAGAGAGAGAGAGAGAGAGAGAGAGAGAGAGAGAGAGAGAGAGAGAAAGGGGGCTAATTATGCGTGACGATTGTTGATGGCTTGATTGTCTGCGTCCAGCTGCACGGAGGAGCAGAGAGAGGGTGAGGGAGGGAGGGAGGGAGAGAGGGAGGGCAGGGAGGCAGACTCACTGACGCCGGCCTCGGAATTCTCCCATCCATTGAAAGAGAGACCCGATTGTGTCCGGGGCCTTTCCGACAAGCACCTGATCTACGCCCAGACCCGGTGCTGCGTGTGCGCGCTCACATCCAAGAGCTCTGATATCTGTAAACAGTCTCTCAGCTAACAAATACAGTCAATGTGCACAAAAAGTGGTTATTAAATATCTTTTTTTACTCTGAAACCATTCCCAATCCACTGAGGCGTTCATTTTCCCAGCAGATCCGGAAATTTTGAAGCAACACCCCCCACCTCCCTCCTCTTAGAGAGCTATTTAAGGTCAAAGTCTTTGTTTGGATAAACGGCGCCACTCGCATAATTCGTCTTTAAAACAGCATTCGATCGAAGTCCTGTCCCACGGTTCAATATTGTGTGTTGCTCCAAACTTAGGTCGTTGAGTGAGTTGTCACACGGGGTCAGAAGGAGGCAGTCGTGGCTCACACATCTGGTAAAACCTCCACGTAATTGGACGGATATCTGCAGCCGTGCCGTGCGTATTTACGCATATGCGCGCAGATAAGATGTGCTTTTAGTTTTAACGTGGCCCTAATGATTTCCTCTTATGCACGTGAGGCAGTGGGATACTACATTTAGAGCCCGTTTGCTACAATTAAAGCAACATTAGGGAAGAGTTAATTTTGTGCCTCAGAGGTTGCAACATATTTCTGCAGACTACCATTCTGGCACATAAACAAAACCATGCTGCAGCATTTTTTTATACATTTGCCTTCACGTGATTATGTTCTGACAGATAAATCTACAAATGTATGATTTGTTCCATTTAAAACGTGCGTTTTGCTCCTTTTGGAAAAAGCCATTTTTTCTCTAAACTGCAGAGCGAAAGAGAGCAGGGTTGAAACGGGGTAAGCTTTGTGAGTGACAGCCTGTGTGAGCCAATCGGATCTCTGAGCGCCTCTGCTGGGGGAGGGCGGGCCGTCTGCCAAGGTGGGGAGTGCGCGTCGGGGTGAATGGATGACGTCGGGAGGCTGGCGCCAGCATGTCTGGGACTGGCGCGTTAGATCAACACAGCTGGGCCGGGATAGGACACACAGCTGGCTCTGGCCTGCATTCCTCCACAAAACAGGATTGTGAGAAAAGAGGAAAAATAAGTCCCAAATAGGAGCAGAACATGTGAACTAAAAGGGAGCAACTTTTAGATTTGGTCAAATCTACTTTTTGAGATAGTTTAACAACATGGAGGTTGGATTTTTTACTTTAACTCAACTTCATTGCTAAGAAGTGAAGGAGATACTGATCACTAAGTGGTCTGTAATGGGGGAGAATCCCATTGTCCTGATGGGTAAACAAGCTGCCTCAAATAAATCCAGAGAAAAAAGTTCCCTAACTCATGGGGAAACATTTTTTATTTAAATTCATATTAAAATGGTTTAAAAACAACCCAAAGGGAATTGTTTGACACGTGTCATCAGCATCTTTATTACTTTTACCAAAATACCAGTCCTTCATTGTTCTGAAAAAACATTTTACACCATCACAAAGAAACAGGCAGTGCCTTTGTTAGTTTCGTTCTTAAATTAATTTGAGATAACAGTTGATTTATGATCGTAATAATAATGTAAATTCCATGATTTTATCATTGAGTTAAAATTGCTTGGTAATAACATTTAACTTTTCATTCGATGTTCTCATAATTTTAGAACTTATTTTGGTTGTTTAAAGTTCCAAATCACTCAGTTGTGCTCTAACAAGTAGTTAACCACCAGCTCAAGGACTAAAACTGGGGTTTCAGTTATAATAATCGGATGTTATGTTTTAAAAAGACTTGTATTGACTAATAACAGCACATAATCAGTAAAAATTACACACAGTTGATATATAAAAGAGTAAAAGCTTGAAAAAGCACACAGAAGTGAGACGTTAGTTTTAAAATCCAATTATCTGTGGGTAAAACCACAAATTTTGTGATTTGAAATGTGAAAAACGATAATATAGCAATGACTAAACCATCTGGGTTAAACAGTTTAAGCTAATATTTGGTCAAAATAACTCAAACTTTGACCCCAAAAGAATTAACCAAACATTTTAGTTTGAAAAACAACCCAGTAGCTTAAATTATAGACCAGATAAACACATCCGAATCTTGATATTTGAATAAATAATCAGTTTTCTTCAATCTGTCTGTTTTCTATAACATTAAAAATAAGATCCCATCATAATTTCCTCATTTTTTCCACAGATTGATCTCAGCCAATGAGAGCGCGCTTGCATTTTTACACTAACCAATCAGAATTCGATGCGAAAAAAGGGGGCGGTCCATGCGCGTGTGAGGCTTATAAAGCCAGTACGTCGCTGTCAGCTCCCTGAAGCAACTCGGAACAGAAAGCAGAAGCAGGGACGCTCCGAACCCCACCCGAACCTACCAGCGTGTTGATCTCTCTCCACCATGAAAGCCATCAGTCCCGTCCGCTCGGTGAGGAGCTGCTACCGGGCCGTGTGCTGCGTGTCGGACCAGAGCCTGGCCATCAGCCGGAATAAGCTGTCGTGCGTGGACGAGCCGGTGGGCGCGCTGTGCGACATCAACGACTGCTACTCCAAACTGAAGGAGCTGGTCCCGAGCATCCCGCAGAACAAGTCTGTGAGCCAGGTGGAGATCCTGCAGCACGTCATCGACTACATCTTCGACCTGGAGATGGTTTTATCCATAAAGGTGAGGCAACGTGGAGGCCTTTTATTTTTTTTCTTTACTAAAGCCCAAATTCTGGTGTTAGTTTGAGAAAGTTTTGGTGCATGCATGCAGCTCGCTGTGACTTTTGAAGATAATAAAGGTTGTGTTTTGTTCTCTGCTGCTTTCACACAGACACAGACACGCGAATTCTCCAAAGAAGAAGATCAGCTGTGCCATTAATGAAGCTGGATCCCTCATGGTGTGTATTTATCTCGTATTTTTGACCTAATTTCTGCTCAAAATGCTCACAGAAATGAGAAGCATGTTTGACTTTAGCATAAATGATTAGTTTTGGTTCAAAGAAAAGAGAGAGAACTCAGACAGGCCAGTGATTGTGCTATCTGCCTGGGGTTAATGAAAGTTCCACGCTAGGCGCCAGTCTGTCTGCTCCCCTCTGGAGGGGAGGGGAGGGGAGGAGAGATCTGACTTCACTTTTCTTCCTTTCTCTCCACGCAGGTGCAGGGAAACACATGTCTCCACTTCACTCCGGGCAAGAGGACAAGAGGGGCAGAAAGGGTGGGATAGGTATTTGGAAGAAAAGACAAGAGGAGGAGGTGGAGGGCTTTAAAAGAAAAAGAACAGAAATCTGGAGAGGAGTGGATCAACAGCAGTGCGTGAGCAACAAAACAGACTCATTCTTTTGCTCCTGGATGGACGGATCGACACACCAAAGCAGAAGCCGGGACTGGAGCGTGGACCGTCTTCACCTGGACATTCTTTAAATGTATAAAATGTCTTTTTTTAAAGCATTCCAGACTTTTTATGGACTCATGAACCAAGTCTTGCATTACCTCGCATATTAACCCCCCAGAACCCTTTTCCCCCTCTAGTAATGTAAAACAGGATTCTAATATGTACATATAAGGCATGAGTCTGTTTTTTATGGGACCTTTAGTTCATCCGAACTCTATAATAGAGTTTATTCCAAACGTTTGTGGGGATTGTTTTTATTCCCACAGACACCTTATGGGTTTCATAAACCCGACATTATAAAAGATTTCTTTGTATGTATGTTAACAATAAAAAACAGTGATAATGTGAGTCTGTGCTGGTTGTTGAGATGTTTTGTTGTTTATGAGTGAATGTGGCTCTGAAAAGATTCCGGTGATGCTGATGGTGACTTTTTAGGTTTTGGATGGTGCCGAACTGCTGATACAACAGGATGTAATCATGAATTCTGAGGTTGGGTGGTTGGAAATCAAACAAAGGGAGTTTCCTGTGAGTGCTTCTATTTTTCCATTGACAGACTGACGACCAGTTTGAACAGTTGATCTTCCTACATGAAGAAGAAACTCATAATTAGGTCAATTATGACCCAAACTAGTGATTGTGTGACACTTCAAACAGTAATGAGAACATTTATTTAAGTTTTATTTATAAACTCGCACGTGTAGTTCTGAATCAATGATACATCAGCTGACCAGATCACTTAGACGTTAAATCTAAGAAATGTTTATTCTATCATCAGGATAATTAGTCACACTAAAGAGAAATATGTGATTTACATGTGAAAAAGATTCACTTCTAAGCATCTGCTTTTTTGCTAAAAAATGACATCATACCACCATCTAGTGGTAAAATTATAAATTACAGGATAATACCAAGATTTTCATGAATATTTTCAAATAATTAGTGAAAAATTGAATTTCGTTTTAAAGTAAAAATCATCAGAATCAGTAAATATTTGAATGTTGAGCATGCATGTGAATTTCTAATGACTGATGCAAATAAGTGTATTAATAAAATGTTTCAATGATTCAAAATTTTAATACAAAGAAAAAGAAATAACTTTATACCCACGTGCATATTTTCTTTGTTCATCTTGTTCACCCAAATAATCAAATGCATACAAGCTTTCATTTAAGAAAAGGAGCAGAATATTCTCGTAATTACTAATATTAAAGTTAGATGAGCTCGAAATATTTTAAAAGTTGCATTTAACTACTTAAAACCTGATTTGTGAAAGTATTATTATTATTATTATTATTATTATTATTATTACTACTACTACTACTACTACTACTACTACTACTACTACTACTACTACTATTATTATTATTAGTAGTAGTAGTAGTAGTAGTAGTAGTGATGTACCGGTATGAAATTTTGGGGCCAATATTCAATATTAATATCACTGCTTTGGCTGATATTTGCCTATATCGATATACTGGCATCAATGCTTCAAAAATCAGCAGATTTTGTATAGAATGAAAATCATTAAAGCTGAATTTACATTTTTATGAACACACAACACACACATCTACGGTTCTGAGATGATTTCATTCACTGTTCACATAACTAAACAATTACACATCACCCACCCCCCACCCTCTGAAACAGGTAAACAAATGGAGCCGAGATGGAAAAAATATCGGTTGATAATATCAGCTCGGTTTTATTTATCGAACCGATACCAATATGTTAAAAAATAACTAACATCGGCCGATACCGATATTGATGCCGATATATTGTCCATACCTATTATTATTATTATTATTATTATTATTATTATTATTATTAAGAAGAAGAAGAAGCTTCCAGGGCATTTAATTGAAAACATTTTAGATAAATTAACAAAACTGCTGCAATGCTGTTCACAGAAACACCATTTCTGTCTTGTCTTTACTGCATATCTTTTCATCTTATACTTCTACATATACTGCTGTTTAGATCAGGAATTATGCAGAAACTGTCTCAGTCCTGGGTTTGTTTTATAGTTTTGATGAAAAGTGGAATCCAATTTAATTGAATTCAATATGACAACCCAACACAAACTATTTTCAGGTTAACCTAACAGTCTGCAGTCATTCATCTTCAACACAACACATCTTCATGGTAAATACTCCCCAAGCACACACTAAATATAAAATTTTAGCAATTTTTCTGCAGATGGAGAAACTCAAAGGAAGTCTCTGAGTAAGCAGGGTAAAAAAAAACGACAGGGTAAAACTAATGGTCCCGTCGTTACATTCAACTGATTTATTTGTTCTGTTGGAGGCTTTGAAACCTCGTCACACAGTGGATTTTGTGACACAGTTAAAAAGAGAAGTGGTTTGAGGCCAACTTGGTTTCCTGTAAATGTAGGTTGTGGCAGTGGAAGGGTGACAAACTATAATTGCAAGTAAGGAAGCATGTAAGTCAGCCATTTTTTCCAAATGCACTGCAGCCAAATGTCAAGGAAGTAAGCTGCAATGTGCATCTGTTTGTGATGTCCACATATCATTAGATGTTGATCATTATTGTGAATGTGATGTTTCTTAAAGCCAAGTTATTTTTTTGACCCAGAAGGACTCTTTATGGGTTAATAATATGTCAGACATACCCCACCACCCTCTGTGGCCATAATATTGCACTTGCAACTTCAGAGTGCCAGTCCAGTCCCTGTTATTAGGTTTTACTTTAGTCTTATTAATGTGGAGCTGGCACTAAGTACTGTTGTGTGGCTGTGTTTGTTGACTTGGCTAAAGCTTTTGACTCTGTAGACCAGCGTTATTCATTCATGGGCCTTGAGGGCTGGTATTCAACACGTTTTAGTGGTTTCTATAGTCCAACACACTAGATTCAATGGTTAAATCACCTGTGCAGCAGCTCATCAGGCTCTACAAAAGCCTGTTAATCACGTGCGGATTGAAATCAGGTGTGTTGAAGCAGGGTTAAAACCAAAATGTACTGGATACCAGCCCGCGAGCCCTGGAATTGATCAGCCCTGCTGTAGACCATAACATCTTACTTAGCAGGCTCAAACATACAGGACTTTCTCAGGCATTTGTGGTTTAGAAGTTATATCTTATGCCGTACGTAGACAGTGAGAACAGAGGGTTACCGATCTGCTTTTCTACCTCTATCTTGGGCGTTCCTCATGGGTCCATACTGGGCCCAAGCATATTCAAAATCTATATTAACAACATTGTTTGTGCTGTTGACAGTTCTCATATATGCAGATGACCATTTTATATTAATGCAGTTCTTTGAATACAGCTTTGTCCTCCTTGCAGCACAACTTTAAGTGCCTCCAACATGCCTTTGTCTTAATTTAAACACAAGTAAACAAAGTCCATGATCTCCAACCGTAACTTACTGCAATCAACTTTCACCCTAGTGTTGTTTCCCTGGATGGTACAGAAATACAACTTGTCAGTTCCTGTAAGTATCTGACTTCACATTAATGCATTACTTTCTAAAGTCAAGTCAAGAAATGGGTTTCTATACCATAATAGGTCATCCTTTCCTCATTCTGCAAAGCAAACCTTGGTCAAAATGACAATCCTTCCCTTCTTAGATTAGTGTGACATCACTTCTAGAACTGCTTCCAAAAGCGTCTTCATAAACTCGATGCCATTTATCTTTCAGCAATTTGTTTCATCACTGGTGCCCCTTTCACTGCTCATCATTGGGATCTGTTCTCACTCGTTAACTGGCCACCACTCCATTCCAGGTTGTTACATTGGTATCAGTTACCATCAACATATAAATATTGGACAATGGGTTTCCATAGCTCCAATAACACGTTTTTGAAGAAAAATGGGAGGTGGCCACCACCGCCATTTTGACCGTGTCACAGGTTCCGTCAAGCCCAGACAATTCCACAAAAGGGAAGAGAGGTGGAGCTGAGGGTGGGGCTGTAAGGCTGGGATCAACTGACGACACCCGGTCGAACTAGCTACAAGCTAACCTGAAGCTAACGCGGAGGTGGGAGCTAAGCTAACGGAGGTAGCAATCTAGCTACAACCGGAGATAACTGTGCACAACACCAGAGCTTCTGAGTCAGAGATACGTCGGGCTGACCGCTGGGTAAAACCGGGTGGAACACAGAGGTCTCCGAGACCTCCACAAGCCGGCAGCCGCACAGCAGACAAGCGCCGCTGCGATCTGAGATGCGCAGAGCTGCCGCTGGGGAGAACCAGGTGGAAAGGTTTCCATCCCAGAGCTCCACAAGCCGGCAGCTCGCGCAACAGACAGAAGCCGCGATCAGACAGAGATGCGCCGAGCTGCGGGGAGGGGAGAAACGGGTGGAAAACATCGGTCTCCCGAGAGCTCCACAAGCCGATAGTCGGAACCCAGCTCCACCAACATGTTATATTTCAACCCATTTTCTAAAGTGCAGCAATATGTTAAATGCACTGGGTTTTACCCTATTACATTTAAATTTCATGGTTAAACAGTACATGTTAAAATCTAAGCTCAGCTCGGCAGTGACCTGAAATACATAAATATGATTTTACTTACTTAAAAAAATGAAGTGGAGACTCCTTGGACGCTCTAATAGTGCAATTAATGCCACAGCAAGTCATTTTGTCCAACAATTGCACAAATAATATCCAAAAAAGAATACACAAACGCTACAACTAATGGTCTAAGTTGAGAGACTGAAAATGACCGAACAGTTTTCAGGAGAGGCCGGGGCCTTTTCCCGGAGCTAGCTCTGCGGTCATGTGTGTCTGATGCTCATTAATTATACAGAATTTTAGGCTTTTAATACACTTAAACAGAAGAGTGAGAAAAAAAATTCACCCCCCTCAGAGTAGTCATGAGTGTAAACTAGATCATTTAAACAAAAAACATGTTTTGGAAGCAGGCTGTAAACATGTTTATTTCTGCTGTGAAATTGGTATTTTTAACATGGGAGTCAATGAGGATTTGCTCGCTTCTGACACCAGCCCCCAGCGGATGAGGGTGGAACTGCAATTTTTGTCACTTATGGGCTCGACACACGGGAGGCGACAAACGACCGCGATCAGCGAAATTTGTCGTTGTCGCTTTTATTACCTGACACACGGGAGGCGATCCGCGGCAGCGGCCAGCGTCAAAGCCGTCTACGCGTTCTGTTCCATGGCGAAATCGAAACTTTCGTTGTTTTGCTTGGCTGTGTCAGTCTGGAGGGAATTAAGGTTATTTAAGCGGTTCAGAGTTAATAAAGTGGTAGGTAGATCATATGATGTTTCACAAGGTGCTGCTAGAGTTATGTGAAATCTTACTTGTGATTTTACTGTATAAAACATAATAATAATCAACTTCTCCTTCATGTTTGCTCGGAGATGTACAGAGCATCCTGTCCGCTCATTGGTCAGTGAATGAAACCTCTGTTGATTGGTCCTCGTCCGAGCAACAGCGATGAAAAGTTGAAAATGTTTCAACTTTCTGGGATCGCGTTGCTGGGTCGCCTGTGGACGACACGTGCACGAGCGCAAAATTTCACATGCACGTTTTTCGCGTTTCGCTTGGTAGGAGGGAGACCCGCGATTATCGCTTTGTCGCGCATGTCTCATTGAAAATGAATGGAGGAGAGGCGATATCGCCTCCCGTGTGTCGAGCCCATTACGCGTTGGCCTCAATTTTTCACCCGCATTGTGGGGGCTTGGTTTATACACGAAACAATCATCGGTAGAACATTGTCATATCTTTGCTCATTACTCATCACTTCCAACAACCAGTGCAATTTTTGTCCCAGTAACTTAATTATTCCCAAAGCGCACACCTCATTTGGCTGCTCCTCATTCCAGTTCGCTGCTCCCAACGACTGGAATGAGCAACAAAAATCACCGAAGTTCACTACCTACATTCCTTTATCAACCTTCAATAATTCATTGCCATCAATAGTTTCTGATCATTGTGCTTCTGAGTAATCAAAGACTGTTGTCTGTTTTGATTGCTTGTACATATTGTATATGAGAACAGTCATCTGTCTTTATGTCTAACAGTTTCATTTTATTTTTATCTTGTTTGTTTTTATCTTATCTATCTTGGTGTACAGCTAATTATGTGGCTGTTGCTGCTACCTATTGGCCAGATCGTGGTTGTAAATTGAAATGAGTTCTTAATCGACTCATCTGGTTAAATAAAGTTTACATAAATATAAAAATAAATAAACTGCAGATTTTTGAAAAATGTATTGAATTCATATTTGTTAATCATCCATTTTTCTTTTGTTTAATCGTACTGTCTGCATGGTTTCATGATCAAAAACAAAAAAGTGCGCAAATAAATCAAATTAGAGAAAAACAAAGTTAAGACACTTACAGTATAAGGTGTAAAATCATCAAATTCTCAACTCACCACAAGATGGGGGTGTTGGATCTGGATGCAACAAAATGTGCTTCACTGACATGCAGGGATTGCAAACACACTTCACACATGATGCTTTGAAAGTTGGTTTGAAGTAATGCAGGAAAAACAGCATTCATGCCTATAAGTGAAATATCAGTGGAGTATATGTGCAGCACTTTCAATCTTTGATGAATTAGTGACCAAAACATTTGAAAATATTATTTAGATAATCAAATATCAATTTTCTCTCAACAGCGTCTACCTTCAAATCCTATTGTGATACTCAAGTCAGTGTACAAAGTTAGGACTTGAACTTGGACTAAGACTTGCAAATGTGGTGTACAACCATTTGACTTTTTCAACATGTTCAGAGAGAGTCCACATGTAAAGCACATTTTGGGTTTTTCCTCAAAATCAGAAAAAGCAGGGCCTGATGTATAATATGCAAGATGACAATAGAAGACAAACCTGGGATAACGCACTGCCCCCATGCTATCACCCAGCTAACACAGTAGCATGTGGCAAAATAATACAACATGCTTAAGATAAATTTGAAAACATAACTAATCAACATTTCACCAGAACACTTACAAACGCTTTTGGAAGTTGCAGTTATTAAATTTGTGCTGTAATCTGACCTAATATAACAAGCTAGCATTAGCATCAGCTACACGCCAATTCTGGTAATTTCACTTACATTGCTGCATGTAAATGTCACGTTGTGTATGGCTGATACTTGGGAAACATAGAAATTGAAATGGAAACTGCAAAAAGCTGCTTGTGATAGAAAAGAGGGATGGAGAAGATTTTGGATCAAATTATGAAAATTCATTTGCCAGCCAACTGCAAAAACAGGGCTCATTTAAAAGTATACCAAAGGATCTTTTTCTTCCGGGTGGATCACCTGAACCATTAGTCCGCTTAACTGTCAATCATTCTGGTGAATCATTCATGCAAGGCCGTCGTCATACGTTGCCGGGTAGTTTTCTCTTCCTGCGCAAAGCGAAGGTTGGGATCCCCACAGAGGCCTCGGTCGAAGGTTTTCTGCTCGACAGGTAAGCTGAAGTTCAGCATAATATTTGGAGAAATTCATTTCAGTTTACTGCTAGAAGAAGTTGGCTGCAAGGCCGGCAGCTACTTATAACGAGGATAACTGGGCTTTCTTTCTCATGTGCATTTTTTTTTCCCAAAATGAGGAGTGGGCGGTTCTTGCCTGAAATTCAGAAACATCCTCCGCTATACCTTTAAAGTGACAATGTGAATTTTCCCTGGTGATGGGTGGCAGTACGTACATAAATCATTGCAAGCATGCTGTATTTTTGTGTTTGAGTAAGACCTTACTGACGGATTTTGTCCTCACTGGCTCCTCCTGTCACAGGAAACATGGCGTACAACATGGCGTCACCCAGAGACTTAGACCCAATTCCAAACTTCCCACTGCACCCTGCGGTCTTCAGCAAAGTGCACTAGGAAGAAGTGCACAGTAAGTCTTTGAGTGTGTAGTACACAGGTGTGCAAATAATTGCCAAATTGGGACAGCGACCATTGCATCATCGACCATAAGGCGTGCAGGGATGCCAGTGGCAGGTATTGCTACTTTAAAAAAAAATCTTTATTAATCCATAAGGACCCATGGTGTCACAACCAATTTCAAACATCTGCAAAATTGCTTCTTGAGTCAAATATTCAAGTTTGAAAACCCCAAGTGACATTCTATCCATACATGTATTAAAATATTTTTTACATGTTTATTTTATTTAATTTTTTTAATGTATTTATTCCAGTCTTTTTTCTAATTCAAAAGGGGTTGGGTTTTAACTTTCAAACAAACAATTGACAAAATTTACATTCATTGTTGTTCACATTAAATCTTAGTCTAAAATTTTCAGAGCATAAATAAATATTAATTGTCTTAAAATGAACTTTTGTTTGAAAATTCAAATTTTCAGAAAAGGCACTTTGTTCCATTGTTCAGCCTTCTTCTCAACATTCCCACTCAGCATTGATGCGCACTTAGGGAAAGTGCGGATCAAGGGTGCAAAAGGGGCATGATCAACTTCCGCACTTGAGGATCGGGACACCCTATGCCTCATGCCCCTGGACTGGAACACACAATTGAAGGATGCAAGGGTGGAAATGTGAGTAATGGGATCGGGCCGTAGACCCGCTCCTACGTATTTTTGTACCAATTTTTATGGTTATATGTTACAAAGCTGTCAATATTTTTCAACACCATGTCAGCTACAATTTTTCCACTTTCACTTGTTGACGATTTCAAGTCAAAGTGGTCTCATTTTTTTTTTTAAATACACAATTCATTTATAAAGACCCCATCAAAGTTTTAGAAATGACCCTTGTTTGGAATTTAGCCCAGATGAAGTGATGACAAAGGACTAAGAGTCTACTTTGTCTTGTCCAATGAGGGTCAAGTCATATGGCTTGGATTGTCTGGCTGTGAATGTGGGGGAGGGAGTGTTTTCTTTCAATATCTCTTGCAACCAATAAGCAAGAGTGGTCCTGGGTGAATCCAGTTATCACTGACAGACTCACAGCAGCACCTTATAGCTGGCCATACTATACTCTCATCATATAAGAAATAATAAAACTAAATTTCCATGTGTTTTTTTAAGTATAAACTTTTTTACCTTTAAATCCCCCTTTTTGTACATTACTTTTATTATGAGTAACAAACTGCACTAAAAAGCAACTTTTTTCTTAATGAGTGTATGACTGGATATAGGTTATTATTAAATATGTATATTAATCTTAAGCTAAATGTTATAAGTGCTTTCTTAGCATTTATAAATGCTTTCTTTCTGAGTTCATCCATGCATCATGCATTTAAAGCAAATGTTGAAATGATAAATACAACTTTTGTTCAATAAATCAGCCTATATGTTTGAAATTATTTTATTGCAATAAGAAAATGATGTAAAAATGTGTTTTTTATATTAATACATTTGAACAGGACACGATATTTTGATTTCTCTTTGTCTTCAAGTTCATCCTCACCAGAAACCCCTCTTGTCGCACTGACGGTCCTGTCTCTTTAAGAGCACCAGCCCCTGCTCTGCACAACTGTTCCATGCAAATGTGACAAGCCGAACGTGCCGGTAGCCAATCAGAGGCGAGCTCTAACCGCGGGAGATCCAAATTTCGCGGGACGGAGTTTGGCGCTAAAAAAGACTGCTGTTCCCCAGCTCTTGTTCCCTTGTATGGAGAGAGGAGCCGTGAAGCGGACGGACAGCGGTCTCGAACTGGGTCGTGTTCTGCTCCAGACGGAGTCTCTGTTCCAAACCCGATCCTGAAGACACTCGGAGAAATATCTGCTCTTCCTTACACCGGATGTTTTAAATACTTTACCTATATAGGAAGCGTTATTTATTTATAACCGGTAAGGCACCTTTTCAGTATACTTTATGGCAGGATAAATGACTAAATTGATGACTATTATTAAAAGACGTGTTTATTAGAAGCTACTGACGTGTATTTTTAAGGTTATTTTAACAGCTCGTACTTGTTATTGTTCTGACGTAGCAGCTAGCTTAGTAGCACAACAACTCATCTCTGTGCTCTGCTCGCAGCTCCCGTCTCTCCTAACCGGACCAGCCCGGGTCACGTTTAGTTTTACTCGGGAACATGATGCGGATGCCTAAAGGCGTCTCTCCAGCCCCACCAGCGGGACTCTCCTGCTCTCAGCAGCAGCAGAAGCTGAAGGTTTTGTCCAAGTCGGACTTCTTCTGCACCGGACTGTCCAGCCCACCGATGAGCTCCATCATACCAGCCGGCTACTTCACCCAGATCTGTAACACCGCCGCGGCGGAACAAAGAGCCAACAGCCTGTACTCAACCCCCCACGGACCCGAGGCGAAGCCCATCAGATCATCCTCCGGGCGGCTGCCGGTACATAATCAAACACACCCTGCAGAACAGTGTTTTACACACGGTTTAATAAGCGATCTGTTGTGTTCAGGGAGCTGTGTGCGTGTGGGAGGAATAACAATTAGACTTAGCATTCATATATGATAAGCCAACAGAGCGGCCAGTGTGACTGCAGCAGCAGCTAGTGGAACTGAATGGAGGGCTTCTGTTTCTCCTGTAAAATAAAAAAAAATGTGACGACACATCTTTGTTTCCCCTCTGGAGGCCAGCATGCCTTTGATGGGTTTTAAGAGGGAGGCAACATGTTAAAGTGTGGGGGTCCGTGTGCAAAATCTAGTGTTTATTGATGCAATCCCACTTTTGAGCATCTGCACCTTTGCTTAAGCTGCAGATCTTGCTAAAGGGGTCAAAGGTCAAAGCAAAGATTCCTATAATTGATGACTATAGAAGACACAACCACACTTTGCTTTTCTTCTATTTTGCTGGTGTAAATCTTTCAGGCTTGTTTATCGAGTGTGAGCGGGGTCTTCTGATCTCATGTTGACGGTGACACTGTGACCACTAATTGGCCCCTCAAGAGGATTAAAAAGACAGTGCAATAGACTACCACCTGGCTCATCGTATGCTAAGGTGAACTGTGCCAGACCAGCCTGGATGTGTGTTAGGGATTTTTGCATCTCTTAGCAGTGTTTGCACATTTTTTTTAAAGTTCTGGACGTCCCGGATTCACATGAATGGAGTGAACCCGTATTTCGGGGAAGAAAATCTTGATGGATATTCTGTTATGGGTAGGGAATCGTGGGCCGAAACACGTCCAACTTGTTCACTTTGTAAAAGAATGCAACTGCATGACTAATAGTTCAGTTTTTATTTCCAGTATCTTCCCTCACATGGATGCAGAAAGTATTTATTGATGCATTAAAACACACCTCAAAAGGTTTGCAGAAACAAAAATCACATCTTACTTGTGTTTTTGAACACGGCTGCAGGAAAGCGTTCAGTTCATCGATTCTTTGGAAGAGACTGGTTGTCTTTACAGTCTCGCTGACTCGGCAGCTTTCTTGCATGCTCAGTTAGGCTTCAATGATTACAGGAAGCGTTCCTGTTCAAATGCATCTCACTTCCCTCAAGAGTAACAACCACCACTTCTTTTTGTGGCGTTTTGACAAGCAAAGTCCACCTAAAAACCTTCAAAAACAGGCCAGACCAGCAGGCAGATGCTGAAGACTCCTAAATATGCTCCTTTATGTGTAATCCAGACTGACTGAGCATCGTCCATGAGCTTGTGAGGGTTTGTAGACTGTTGGAATTCCAGATCTTCCCTGAAATTAATGAATGTTTGGGATCAGACTGACTTAAATTCTCTGGAGCCAAACATTGGTTCCTCTCTACAATAAAAGCCAGAAATGATTTTCCTTTTTATTTGTTATGTAAATCTCATACAAAATGTGTAAAAATTGACATCAAGTTTATTTTTACATCTTGTAAAGACAAATCGCCTCCCTAGAACGAGGTGAGACGACCAACTGTATGCAGTCTTCAATCATTCTGCTTGTTTCACCCACCACTCCCTTAAGCCGGGCTGCGTTCTGCTCAAGAGGGAGTTTTGCATTTCAAATCCCCCCACCCCCCACCCTCCTATCAGCAACCCAAACACAGACCCGCCCTTCCTCATAGAGGAGCCATATTGACCATCAACAAAGTAGCACCTTTATGTTTAAGCTGCCGTTGAGGGTGAGGTAGATCTCCGTAGGCATCCTGTAACTTGTCCTGGTCTGACCGGTTGGGTTTGTTGGCTTGATCAGACGTGTGTGTGTGCGTGTGTGCGTGAGTGTGTGAGAGACACACCGGTGGAGTCATATCTACTGCAGATTTGAGTTGATTTTCATGCTAAAATGTCACTAATAACATCAGTTGATGCACACAATTTCTGAAGCAGAATCCGTTTTTGAACTAACTGTTAAACCTTCACTTTGTGCACTGGTCAGTGTTAAAGTCAGACAGCTAAATAGTTGATGTAGAGTATTTATTATGCAAATGTTATTAGTGGACGTTAAAATACGTTGAAATGAAATTCTGCAGCAGCACCGGGGTGCCCAAGAATGGGCCTAACTTTAAATCGGCTCTACAAAGGACGAGTTTAAAGGACATGTTTAAAAAAACTGTAAATATCAGCCCGATATATTGGTCTAGGCCTACTAAGCAGTACAGCTGCAGGGTGAAATGGTTGGTTGCCTTCTCACCACGCGTGTGCGCCTCCAGATGTTCTAAATATGTTGACTTGGTTCTGATGGCTATGCAGTTTTAAAGACACGGTTCAGACATTTGACATTTGATTAGAGATAATTAAAGGTGGGATAGATGTTGTTTTATTAATTTTTTTGCTGTTCAAGCAAGCTACATTTTGAAAATAAACATTCCAAAGGTCCAACCCCTTTCCCCTAAGCCACACCTCCAGAACACAGGAATGTGCAATGCTTGTTGTATATAATCGCCAAATCATGACAAGAGTCGTCTCAAGGTACTTCACACAGTAAACATTCCGGTACAGGTCAGTTCATTAAGCCAATCAGAAAAAAGTTTCCTATATAAGGAACCCAGCAAATTGCATCAAGTCACTGACTAGTGTCATACTAAGCAAGCATGTAGCGACAGTGGAGAGGAAAACTCCCTTTTAACAGGAAGAAACCTCCAGAGAATCCTGGCTCAGTATAAGCAGCCATCCGCCACTACTCACTGGGGATGGAGAAGACCGAGCACACACACACACACACACACACACACACACGCACGCACACACACACACACACACACACACACACACACACACACACACACACACACACACACACACACACACACACACACACACACATATACCAAGTAATGTGTCTATGGTCACATTGTGATTTCTTAGTAAATATTCTATTTAGTGAGAGATAAACTTTATTGTATCTATCCCAGTAAATCCATAATTAAACAAGTAAACTAGTAGTAGCACATTCAATGTTAAAGAAAGTAAAATGTTATTGTCAGGAGAGGAAGAATGTTGAAGTGGTTAGCTATTAACAGATGTGTGGTGCAAGAGAAAAATAATGAGTGAATAACCTTTTTTTTATCATTATACCCTATGGGGTAGATTAATACTAGAGTCATTACTTACTCCTGACCAATCAAAGTCACAGAGCCAGACCCTAAGCCCACCCCTCTCTAACCTAAACAAACTAAGGCCCAATCCCAATACTTGCACTGTGCCCTATGGTCTTCAGCAAAGCACACTAGGAGGAGGTGCGTAGTAAGGCTTCAAGTACAAAGTACACAAGTGTGCAAAGTATTGCCGAACTGGGACAGGAAGCACTGCGTCATTGACCGCAACGCAGGTCGCTGTGCTACTTTAGAAAAAAAATCTTTCTAACAACTTTCAAACAAAAAAACCAAACAATTATTTGACAAAATGGACATTCACTTCTGTGCACATTAAATCTTTGTCTAAAACATTCGAAGCATCAGTTAATCGTCCAAAGATGAACTGCTTTCAGTTGAAAATACATATATTCAGAAATGGGTGCTTGAGCCTTTGCTCCCGCAGCAGTGGATTGTGGGTAATACCCTTCACCAAAATCCACATTGATGTGAACTTGGGTGAAGTGCGGATCAAGGGTGCAAAATGGGCGTGGTCAAATTTTGCACTTGAGAATCGGGACACCCTACGCACTCACGCCCCTGGACGGGACCGTGCAATTGAAAGGGTGCGAGGGTGGAAGTGTGAGTATTGAGATTGGGCCTTCATGTGACTAAAACCAGATGTAGCACAGAGGACAGGTGGTGGGAAAAAGTTTACAGTAGTTCATCAGCTCGCTAATACTGAGACGAGTCTGATAAAAACCAACCACCAGGTCTGGTAAAACTACCTGTTTTATCATAAATGATGAGAGAAAATGGCCAGAGCTGCACTTCAAATAGATTTTCTACATTTTTAGTTGTCAATGATTATTGGTATCATGATGGTCAATATACATTTTTATATAAAACATAACATCTGAATAATAGTTATAAAACAATGTTTTCGCATAAACGCAGGAGTAGGGACAGGGGCTTAATGTACAATCCATTTTCTTTTCCCTTTGTAGAGGATTGTGGCTGTGTGTGTGATATTCAAATCCACCCTCCACCAACAGCACACACACACTTGCCAAACTGCTCCAGATGTCCCCAGTCAACAGGTGGACATGTCACAGGACACGTTTGGACAATGTGTGGCTTCACTCTCAGGAAGAGGCGCGTCCACACGTGGTGTAGCCTTTCAGAAGTCAGTTGCTCAAACCTTCACCAACTCGGCTCTTTGGGCTCATGCTTTCACAGAATGGGTCTCTGTTGGTGCTTATCTAGTGTGTGTGTGTGTGTGTGGGGGGGGGGGGTCAAGGATTGAGTCGAAAGGACGTAAACTCGGGTTGTGAATGTGAGGAGAATTACTGATTTACAAACGTCACTGGATTTATCGTAGATTAGCACAACAGTAGTTCAATCCAGGACTTTCACTTTTGTTATGAGACGCGTCGTAAAAACGATCATTTAAGGCTAAGTGGGCCCTGCTGAAGTTCAGAGGTCACATGTGCTGCATTACAGCCACTCTGTGTGTGTGTGTGTGTGCGTGTGTGTGTGTGTGTGTACGTGTGTGCGTGTGTGCGTGTGTGTGTGAAACTGGTGAGTTCCAGGAAGTCCCTGGATCCAGTCAATGACCTCTGCTCTTCCTGAGAAGCCCTAGACACACACACACACACACACACACACACACACACACACACACACACACACACACACACACACACACACACACACACACACACACACACACACACACACACACACACACACACACACACACACACACACACACACCAGTCAGCCCCTGTAGAAGGGCTTGGGGAAGTGTGATGAGAGCACTTGGGGACTTGTTGGCACATTTACGACACGCCACTTTCCCACCAGCCCCTGTTTTAGCTCCTGTCTCGTCTGTTTCAGGGTTTAGGGCGATTCTTTGTTTCCAAGTGATTCTGGAGTTAAAAAATAGGCTAAAAACCAGAATTCTGCTCTCATGTGTGTGTTTTTATGTTTTTTTTTTCCATTCAGGCCAAAAGGAAGCTGGATCTGGAGGACCCTCTGTACCTGCCGGAGTTCCGAACCCCCAAAGGCAAAGGCAGCGTTACGGCGGGGATACCGAGTCCACGGAGTGAGTCGACCTCACTGGTTACCTGTACCATAAAATGCAAGGAGATGATTTTTCTGGAGATATTTAGCAACATTCTGAGTTAGAGGGAGGTCAGGGGGAAGTGCAGGCAGGCGGGACAGTGATGGGATAGGGAACCTCAGAGGACGGCATAGACTGGTGTTGCAGAGTATCCTTAAAAATGGATCCTGCACCATGGATATTCCCAACACCACAGAGGAAGTCAGTGTTTTTGAACCATTTGTCTTATAACTAGCTGAAGGACAGACATAAATCAGTCAAGAAGTGAATTTTTCGTTGTCTTGCTCAGCTCCAAAGTCTCCAGGTGAGCGGACGCGTTACGACACCTCCCTGGGCCTGCTGACCAAGAAATTTGTGGGACTGATTGCCGAGTCTCCAGACGGGGTTCTCGACCTCAACTGGGCCACCGAGGTTTTGGAAGTCCAGAAGAGGCGCATCTATGACATCACAAATGTCCTCGAGGGCGTCCAGCTCATCCGGAAGAAGTCTAAGAACAACATCCAGTGGCTGTGAGTCCAGGAAGTGGAACAGTTCAGCACAATTTTCACTTGATACAAAAAAAAAGTATTATTTAAAAGTGTGAGAGCTTCTGAAATCAGATGTTTCGTGGTATCAACCACAAAGTGGTGGTGGTCTGGAGAAGAAGGTGTCCAGTCTTTGACTCGAAGAAAAATTGATTTTTGTGTTTCTGAGTTTATTTTAGATCATGTTTGTTTACCTGAGAGTTATTGCATCCCTGCAGAACTAAAGTCATCTGTATGCAACATAAGGAGAAGTTGACATGTGAAGGGGGGCCCTGTGAGTGCCCGTGGGGGGGTGTAAAAATAGTTGGCAAGCTGAGAACTGGTTAAAAAAATAAATATCTTGAGCTGAAGCAAAAAAAAGTCCCGTTGGAATTTCAAAATTTTAGCTTTGACCATCCTTGTTGCCACATTAAATCTGACTGAACAGCATTTGGGTGTTTAAGGATATAATTTAGACAATAAAATAATCGATTTCATCAAAAAGGCAAATATTTAGGGAAAAGTTAATTATGTAAAGTGCTGCCCCCTAGTGGAAGTCTTGTGAATGTCAGTAGCTGTAAGTTCTGAGGGTAATTATGAGTCTTTCTTTGTGTTTTCTAGTGTGGGGGATGTTTTTGAAGGTGGTGCAGGTGGCGGAGAAAAGGCGTGTGCCTTGAGAGAGGAGCTGGGAGACCTGGAGAGAGCTGAGCGTTCCCTGGATGACCTGATCCAGTCTAGCACCACGCAGCTCAAACAGCTGACGGAAAACAAAGACAGCCAGAGATATCCTTCACACACAGCGGTTTTACTCTAGGTTCACACACGCGTGCTTTAACAGCGATTACCCTTGACAACCTGACACTTTGGGCTACGTGACATACCAGGACATCCGCTCCATCGCCAGTCTCCTGGACCAGACGGTCATCGCTGTCAAAGCTCCTGCAGAGACCAAGCTAGAGGTCCCAGACACGGCAGCGGTGAGGCGATCGATCCGACCATAAACTCTCCTTTATCCTTGTGGAAGTTTAGATCTTTTCCACCTTTTTCTTGCCTTTCTGACAGCAGAGCAAACTCCAGATCTATTTAAAAAGCCGAAACGGGCCCATCGAGGTCTACCTTTGTCCAGAGGAGGTGCTTGAAGGTCCCAGTCCTGTGAAGATCTCTATTTCACCCAAAAAGGAACCTCCTCAAAGCCCGGAGCCACCGGCTGCGACCCCGGTGACCCCACAGAGTTATAGCATTAAGGAGGAGCCCATTGAAGGTGAGGTTGCGTTTGTGTTTTTGATAAAGATGCTCCTCAGATACACCAAGTCAAACTTTAACCCCTCCCCTGTGTGATTCAGCCGCTGTGTCCACAGCAGCTCCAGTCTCCTCCACCTCCTCTCTGCTGGACGTCGAGGGTCTCCTCGGTTTGCCTCCCAGCCTGCTTCAGATCACCGAGGACCAGCTCCCCGGCACCTCCTTCACCTCAGGCCCCAACACCCCCTTCGTTAGCTTCTCTCCCCCTTTAGACCAGGACGACTACCTCTGGAGCCTGGACGATGGCGAGGGTGTGTCGGATTTCTTCGACACCTATGATCTGGGCGACTTGTTGAGGAGCTGATGTATGGGGGAGGTGGGTTAATATTCAGACAAATGCCCTTTCGGGGCAGATGTTTTTACACTATGAAGCCATTTCCTGTTTTAGCCGCGGCAGTTGGAGGACTCGCCACCTTGTACGTTTTAGTTTTGTAATTTACAAATCATTTGTACATAGTGTAAAGATGCTTTAAAAAAGTGGAAATGTTTTTAAAAAAGCATGGAGGTGTTTTTTTTTAAATTTCCACACAGACTACTGAAAAACAAAATAAAACAGGACTTGGTGTATGTACCACAGCGGGAATGTGGCCGTCAGATCTCAGGAATTCTTTGTTCTTCCTCATTTCCAAAATTTGACAGGAAAAAAAGATTGCACCACCTAATGACCTCTAGGGGGCAGTCTTGTATAATGTCAGCTTTAACCAGCGTGCAGCTTTGCAGGATTCAATCACTGGATTAGGATGAAGCTTTAGGAGCCAGGTGCGTTTCCTTTTCACCAAATGAAGTTGTGATTTAACTCCATACTGGATCTACGGATTCCTGAAGGTGCTCTTGTTGGATCAGGATTTCTTTTCATGTCTTTAACGCTTTCTCTCAGGCCCTGAACTGGATGAGTCCCAAAACGAGGCTAGTGATTGATAATGGTGGCTTCATTTCACACCCAGGAGCTCCTCCGATGATCCGAGTTTGATAAATGTCGATTTCGAAGCGCAAAACTACTTTTGTATTTCTTAGGAAATAAGTCCAAATCAGTTAAATGCAGCAGGTGTGCTGCAGGAGTTCAATTTGAGGATCTTTTCTTCCTCTTGTGTTGGAATGAGTTAAATTTTGCGCTTAAGAGGAACATAAATAATGAGGAAATAATATTTGTACTGTTTAGATTTTTGGGTTTGTTCAACACTTTTGTGGTTCTTCACCATTAAATTTGAACTGTTCCTTTGTTTTCAGGATGTTTCTAGAGACTTTTATGAACTTTATTCTTGCTAAATATCTTTTTGGCTTTCCCTCTACAGTACAGAGATAAGCTAATTGTCCTGTCCTAACGAAACTTGAAAGTAAGTGTGTGTGTGTGTGTGTGTGTGTGTGTGTGTGTGTGTGTGTGTGTGTGTGTGCGTGTGTGCATGTTTGTGTGCTAGGATGTTGTTTTGCATCAGTGTGTGTGTGTGTGTATTATTGTGTAGAATAGGGAGTGTGAATTCTGAATTTGTAGGGTTTTTTCAATGAAAATTTATGTATTTTGGTATTTGTACATAAATCATTTTGTATTTATATCTATTTTTTGCAGAAGTTTGAACCAGTTTTTGTACGACTTACAGCACTTAATGTTTTTGTAATATTGTGTGGTCTGTTTGAAGTTTTTGAATAAATGCTGAAGCCATTGATTACACTTGGTTTAATCCAATCACTCTTCCCAATAATGCTCACACTTAAGATGTTTGTTTTTAGAATATTATAAAGTGTGTGTGTGTGTGTGTGTGTGTGTGTGTGTGTGTGTGTGTGTGTGTGTGTGTGTGTGTGTGTGTGTGTGTGTGTGTGTGTGTGTGTGTGTGTGTGTGTGTGTGTGTGTGTGTGTGTGTGTGTGTGTGTGTGTCTCATAAAAAATGTTTTCAGGTGAATATTTGTTTAGAGGCTCACATTAGTATGGGTAACTTCATTGGTGGAAGATGTACTTGTTGTTTCCTTAAAGTGACTGTGTGTATTTTCCCTGGTGATTACCACGGATGCCCATTAGGGTCAAAAAACCCTGGGAGTGCAACCTCCAGCTAAATGACAGCACATCAGATACCCTTTCATCACTGGCAATGAGTGAAGAGTTAAATGTGTAAAACAACAATGTTTATTATTGGTGAGAGTTTTGTAACCATTCGTTACATATCAGTAAATGTGTTTTTCCTCACAGGCTTCCGTAGAAGGAAAAATGGCATCCAATATGGAGATTATTGGTAAAAAAAAAAAAAAAACTACACATAGTCGCTTTAAGAGTACCCAAAAATGTTTTACTTAAAGTGCATTTTTCAAATTTTCTTAAAAGTACAAGTATTCAATTAATATTTGAATTTGCATTGCATGTGTTGAAATGTACTGTCAGAACAAGGGGAGGGAGCAAATTAACGTACTATTACCTCTGGAACTGCAACCCGGCACGGGCAAGGGAATGCTACTGCGCTACATTAGAGCAAGGATGTGGTGGGGGTCGGACAAAATGCATATGAAAGTACTTTTACTTTTGAAACTGTTTTGAAAATCTGTTGGAGTAGTAGAGATAACTGCCTTAACGTGAAGTGGAGTAAAATTAAAAAGTAGGCCTCAAGAAAATTACTATAGTAAAATTCAAATATAGAACAAATGTACAAGTATAGAAACAAAGTCGAGATAGAACGGTGCTGCTGTTTTCCAAACCGATACAATACTGATACTTGGATCTGAGTACTCAGTGATACCAATACTTTCACAAAAAATGGAATACAGGTTTTATTTTCTTCTCTGCTTTCAACAGGAAAAACTGTGAGGTAGATAAAAAATAAAATATATTAATAGAAATGATCACAAAACTAAAATTATTAGGTGAACAGAAATGACAAGTTACAGTGAAGCCACTTTTAAAGAGCAAGTCAACCCCTACCAGATTCTAACTCCACTCCCACTTCCTGTTTGAAAAATACAACAAATGCTGTTGCCTGGCAGACCGAGAGGGCGGAGCTGCTAACAAATACACACACACACACAGGCTCACGACAACGTTGTGACATCATAATGTACCAGTTTACATCATAGCATACCTCTTAGCCAATAGCGGTGGCAGATTTAAATTAGAATACAGTGCAGAGTTTTTACCTGACAGTGGCACAACACTGACAGTTTTAGGCAGAATATTTAAATTTTAACTAAGATGCACTGAAGTGCCAAATTATTGACGACACGTGTCTGCAGCACGATTAGACACACATTTATTTAGTTTATCAGTAAAAAAAAAAGTTTATTTGGGGGTGACTTGCTCTTTAAGCAACTGCATTGGTATCAGTTCCTGGTATTGGCAACAATACCAGTATCATATCGGTGCATCCCTAAAATAAAGTACTTGTATTATGTTCCATCCCGTCACTAAGTTAACTGAAGCGGGGCATACGTGCAATTTTTTGTACTGTTTTGAGACGACTTTCCTAATAAAGTTTTACAAGTTTTATGTCGCGCTTCGTGTAGCATACAGGAGGTAGCGAGAGTTGATTAACAGCTATCGACCAGCTCCCAATCAGCAATCGTGCAGTCACACAAACATCAGGCATGTCCCTCGTGAGAGTATCATACTGTAATAGCGCTCCAACCCTAAAGTACCAGAACCACGCACACAGCGCATGTGCCAACACGGCTCGCCAGCCATTCTCCTATCACCATACTTCATTTATTTCTATTTTTACACTTTTTTTCTGCACACAGTGTCAAGGATTGTCAAGAAAGTGTGTTTGTCAAATGAAGCCAATCCCAACACATTGTTTACTTCCTTTTTTATCTTCTCCAACCCCTAAAAACCCCTGCATGTCATTCTATAGCAAGCCTGAAGGACAACAGACATCAATCACACAGCAACCAATACGAGTTTTCAGACTTAAAAGGTCTGACGTGTTGCTACCAGACGTACAGGGTGGGTCGCATCTGAGCCTTGGGTCGTACAGTGTGTGAACGTGACTCGTGAGCTTTGTCTTGCGAGGAAGTTGTACGGTTTGGGATGGAGCTGAATACTACGAGTGAAAAAGTCACACAATGTATGCCTGGCTTTAAACAAGTCATGACAGTAATTCACTTTTACAATGTAGTTTTCTTGCTGTGATTAACTTTTTTTTTGTTGGTGAAAATAAATCACTAAAAAATCTACTTAAGGTGGCGACTTTACAAAAACAAGTCAAATTCCCTGTAGAGAGAAAATAAATTGACAGGAAAAGATTTTAAAGATTTTTATGCACACATTCAGAGCGACCTAAACACTTATAATTCTTTCTGAACTGGTTGCCTCAAACAAGCACACAAAAGCAAGAGAATAATGAAGGTCATGGTTCAGTAGGTCAGGATGAGGCTGCACGTGTTTCTGGGTAAAAACAAAAAGAAATTTGAAAGAAAATACATCTGCATTTCTCCACTTTCTATATAAATGGATGTTAATGAGCCAGACGGTAACAAACATCCAGTTACCAAATGTTGCTCAGGTGTTTGAAAGCTTTTGTTTAGCGACAGTCATCACATGTAGACCAAACTCCTTTTTTAGACACTAAAAAAAGCAGATGTCTCACTTTTGTTGCAACACGCCTTTAACATGACTCTTTATTGGTCCTACAATAAGGAACAAAGAGAAACCATGATGTTTTCAATTAAATGAGGCGCTACATTTCTAAAGAGAAGGACATCTCAACTCTTCTGTTATTTTAGGGCTGATCCATACAAACACATACATCTGCATGAGCTGCAGATTTCTTCTTCCTGTTTTCAGTGTGATGTGCGACCAATCCTGTGACGACAGCTTTGAAAGAATCGTAAAACCAGTTGGAGAACCTGTTTTAGAGAACGTTTTGTTGCCATACCTGTACGAGCACACACATTACGTTGGAGTCCATTGTCTGTTATGGACAGGTGTGGTTTTTCCACAGGAACATGTCTACCAGGAAAAAAAAAAGATGCTGACGAGAAGTTGCATGACACTGATCTGCAGATTTACTAAATGCTCATTTTTACAACAAACAATGTTGGCATCAGAACATTTTGTTGCTCAAAAGTCAAAGGCATGCAATGACAGTGTGTGTGTGTGTGTGTGTGTGTGTGTGTGTGTGTGTGTGTGTGTGTGTGTGTGTGTGTGTGTGTGTGTGTGTGTGTGTGTGTGTGTGAGCAAATTATCTCTTATTCTTATTTCTTATCATGTTATCTCATAAATCATTTTTAAGACATGTCAGGGGTGGATCTAAAAGGAGGCAACAGCGCCCCCCCCCCCCCCCCCCTACTGTGGAGCCTTGGCCCCCCAGCTGCCCCCCTCCTGTACTTTTATCCTTGTGCCTTAAACTAATCTAAAAATGAAGAATAAAATCAGTCCTGTGCAGTAATGTAACTTACTTTTCTGATCTCGTTGTCTGTATTTTTTTTTGTGACTTCAATTTTTTTTTTCATTTAAACACAAAATTTCTTCTCAGACCGTGTAAAGCTCAGCAGTTCAGATTGGGCCAGACAGGAAATCAAACATGGGAGCAGTGTAAACCCTCTGCAAATTTTCAACATGAAGACATCTACATATTTCCTATTGCTGTCATTACACGGCAGAGGTAAGAAGAATGCAAATAAACTACAGATCTTTCAGAAACATGTTGCCATCTTTCTCCTTGCTTTTCATTGCGCTAACTGGCAAAATCACGCGTGATCAATTCTCCGGTGTTTTTGTGATTCAAGATGGCCATGGTTGCTAATTGCTTCAGGGGTTGACGTCACACTATCCCGTAATGCACCACAACGCACCATACTGGCAGGAGACAAATGTAAACAAGCCAACCAGCTGACCAACAGTTTTCCACTTTTCAGAAAATGGTTGACTCGTGTTGTGCTCCAGTATGCACAAACCACCGCGGTCAGGTTAAAGACGAAGCCTTTTGTCATATTCCGAAAGACCCAGCTCAGACTGCGATCACAAAAAACAAACGGAAACCTGGAACCCGTTGCTCAATGTGCAGTGGTCATTTAATTTCTGGTAACTTCACCCGTACATGTGACTCAAAGATTAATTTCCTCTCTTTCTTGGTTATGCTGCCATAATCTGAACACATGAGAGCAGCACTGCCCTGTCCAGCTGTGCAATTACAACTGCCCAAGGTTTTAGGAGGGTTCATTCAATCTTTGTGGATTATTCACCTGTAAAAAAATCAGCCATGAAATAACTTTCTGCTGTGAAGTGACTCATTAGCCAGCTTCCTGGCTAACATATCATAGCATACACTAGCATCCTGTTATGGCTGGCTACTTAGCTTTGTTGTAACAATAAAAAATCCCTGTGTTTTAAACTCCACTGCAGAATCTCAGCCACAAATCCTAATACAGTCCAGACTTTTGAAGGCCGGTGAAAGAAAACTGATTAGACAATTACATTTGTCGGGTGATTCGGTAGACCTGCACTGTGTGCCACCTGATCTATTATTTCAAAAAGTACACCCGAAGCTACATTTGGATCACTTATCTGTTGTCCCTGAAGTTTTGTGATGCTATTGATCTTCACTGCTTTTCTAAAGTGGTTGTTATTCTTCTCTTCTTCTTGTTTGCGTTATCCTGCCCACACAGCACCGCAAACAAACCTAGTCACGTGACATCAGGAGCTCTATAAGAGAGATAATATTGTTTAACAACAACTTTTAAAGACACTGAGATGATATACTCAAGAGCTGCACACTCAGTGACATCTCTGCTTGAAACTTTACCACCAAGGATTGATGTCAACACTGTCTGGTCACAAAATATCTCATTAACCATCGGACACATTTTCAGGAAACTTTCATAAAATAAAAAGTGAATGCACATCTAGATGTGATTCACTTGTCAAGTTAATCTGATTTAAAACAGTTGCAACAGCTAATCAAAAAATTCAAACGCAAAAATGACTAAAACTCAGTCAGTTATTAAGATACTGAGCAAACCTTTTTTCTGGTGGTCATTGAATGTCATTCACATTCAAAGACAAGTCATTGGAATATTCTGTGTGATTGAACATTTTGTTAATTGCGAGATTTGTCATTTCTCAACGTATGAATTTTTAGTTTGAAACTCTTGTCTTTTTACATTAATACTTCAAAGGGAACCTAAAACTCACTTTTTGCATGCTGTTGTGCTGCCGTGTGGGTCTCTACTGCCTCTAAACACTCCAAACATGAAGAAATCTGTCCATTTGCTTTCTGTCAGTGTTTGGTTTTAGGAACTATGTGCCTAAATTAGGCTGTTTCTAAAAGTCCCTTTTTGTGATGTCACAAATGAACAAAATAGAATAAAACCACCTCTTATGTGCAAGAAAGAGCTGCTGCTGGAGGAGAAGTGGCTCTACTCAGTGTCTCAAATATCTGAGCTTCTCAGCTTACAGCAGCCTGAGCAGGGAATGGGTGGGCGTGGCCAGTTCCAACTTATTTTCTTAAAGTGACAGAGTCCTTAAACGGCTCCTTCTGAATGGTGCTAAAACTATCAAGAATAAAACTTTGAAATAACTTTATGAGAAAACATGTTTTATAGACCATATAACTATTATAACTTAATAAAAAGTTGATTACATGTCCCCTAAATCATTTGTGTTCTTAAAGCCTTTGCATTTCTTACCCTGCACACATAAACTGGCTTACTGTGTTATTCATGAATCCCCTCTCCTCTTCTGTTCTCCCCCTCCTGTTTTCAGTCATCTGTGTTGGAGTATTTTACGGTAAGCCTGGGCCCCCTGCCATGACATGGGTAGTAAATTGATAACAGGACTTGTGGAGCTGAGTCAACACTCAAAGCAGGACAGAAGGATTTTTTCAATTTTTAGGGGGAGAGGGTGAGGAAATCCTGGCAAATATGAACTTTTACTGTAAGACGCAGCTCCAGTCTGCATGCTGAGACATAAAGGGGCAGTTTTTCAGCGTGCCTTGTCTCATCACATCACCTAAAAATGATTAACTTCCGTTGTTAACATAAAAGAAAGTGGAAGGTTGCCATAAACAGCGCTAGGAGAGGGTTTGTTGATACGGGAAATTACAACTGAGGTAAACCATGTGTTAGGAGAGGAGAAGGGAGGGGAGACAAGAGGGGAAAACATTAAATGAGTCACTCCAGTTTATGCACACACACACACACACACACACACACACACACACACACACACACACACACACACACACACACACACACACACACACACACACACACACACACACACACACACACACACACACACACTCTCTCTCTCTCTCTCTCTCTCTCTCTCTCTCTCTCTCTCTCTCTCTCTCTCTCTCTCTCTCTCTCTCTCTCTCTACTTTCCCACTTTTTCACCCTTTCTTTATGTGTGATTTATTTTCCTGCCTTATTTTGCAAAAAAAAGAAAAGAAACACAAAACATTATTTTCCGGGCAGACTGTTTCTTCTCTCCTCATACACAGACCCATGTTCACTACTAGATGTTTATTCACATCCTGAGCAGAATGGTTTGCTGCTCAAATAACTTCCCAATAAGATTCAGGCTCATAATCTGGCAAACACACAATGACTCGGTTTCTTGTCTAGGGGCAGCAATGGAGATGAAGGGATGTATTGTTGGGATGCAGCAACCCGATGCATGTGAGAATGCAAAATGCACACGCATCTTGTTCATGAATATGCATTGGTTGAAGATGTTTGCATCCATATGCACGGATGTATTCTCCTCAAAAATGTTCACAATAGAGAAAAAAAGAACCAGACCCTGCAAAGTGGGTCATGCTACCAATCCTGTATAAGTGTGGGTGTTGTTCATAATGAATAATTGAGTAAAGAGGGAGTTTTGCAACTTTTCCTCTGGAGATTTTAGTCGTATATAGTCTGAGTTCACATGGAAACGGGAGATTTGTTTAGTTGGTCTTCCAGGAAATGCTCCACTGTTAGCACTTCTAGTTTGGTGAAAAGAACATCTTCTGATAGCTTTCATGTTAAAGTTTAACATCAGTTGGAGGCAAGATGATGCCCATTCAGGCATGTTTAAGCTATTCAAAGCATTTTAATGAATTTGATCAAATAGCATCAAATTTCAGTGTTTCATTTTACACCCTGCAGCTAAGCGAGGACAACGATGTGGTTTTGTGGTAAAGACAATCATTTGATGCCGCTTGCTAATCATCTCTCTGCACTTCACAGTGGATTGTGTCACCACTCCACCTGAGGCAAAATTCACTGATATACCTCTTTTCTTTCTGAGCTGACAGACTTGACAATACCCTTGCACGGTTTCTTCCCCACCCCTCGAATGCTCAGAGGCTTTCACTTTGTCAGATGATTTCAGGAAATGTCAGTGCAGGGGGAGGGACTTGGGTAATCTCTCAAATGAAAACTTCTTTGTGAGATGAAAAGAGGAAGGAACCTTAGAGCCAGTAAGGAATAGCGTGTTTTGTTTAAATGTTTAAAAATTACAAATAAAAGCTCAAATTCAACATAACACTCTCTTATGATAAAACCTGATATATTTTTGCACTTTCTCCCATACTTCATTCATTGAAATTCCTGTCCTTCAGCTTGGTTTGTGAATGAGGCACTTTGAATTACCATGGAGACGCACTTGAGGCTCTGTGGAGCTTGCATAGAAATGAGAGGTATTAATGAAAGACACAATAAAGGACCCACGTACACTTTTCTCTCTTGTGAGTCCAAAATTAAAAAAAAAAGTTCCCACAAAAGTGTATGGGTGTGCATCATTTATACACGGTTTACGCAGTGGTGCGTCCAATAGGAGTTTGTGCGCTGTGGGTGAAAATAGCATAACATTAAATAAACATTCTTATTGGAAAATATTTAATTCTAGATTTCACTGGGAATTATTTTATTTCAGAACTCATGTTCATTTAAAACAAGACGAATTTACATCTGAATGATCCAAAAGTGTGGTGCAAAAGTAATCACAAAATCCATTTACTGTTTAATACGTAGCTGGTAATTTAAAGGTTGAATGTATAGAGCATTTCATTAAATTGTTCCGTATTGAAGCTTTAACAGTTGGTTGTGTCTTTGGTTGTGTTTTCAACAAGTGATGATGTAATGAATTTGGATTTTTCTGAGACCGTCCGGTCGTTGCGCCGGTGCAGCAGTAAGGAGCTGACCCTCTAGCCCCTCCCTCCTCTGAGCCTCAGTCGCGCACCAGGGAGAATCTCCACGCGCACATTAGCTGAGTGGAGTTCTTGCAGGTCTGTTCTAAGCCAACTTTCTGTCCAAAACACCTCGTTTTGAAGAAGCCATTGCAGGTGACTGTTTCCACACAAGAGGAAGAAAACTGGACCTTGCTTCTTGTTTTTATTATTATTATTCAAATGGGAATTACGTGCGCGGTTGAAAGTTGGGCTCACTTTTCTACTCGGTGAATGTCGGAGCCGTTTTTCTGGAAACATGCCGGAACGAATAAGTGTTTCGGACTTTGTGGTGCTGACAAACGAGGATTTATCTTCACCTGGAACTTCCAGTTTCCAATCCAAAATGAGCGACTGTCGAAACACGGTCTCAGCGGTGGAAGAGGTGAGGAGACGGGTCAGGGTACTCACCTTTTGTTGTGTTGTTTACCTGTTTACCTTAACAAGCAGTAAAAATGGTTTAATCCACCTGTCCAACCGGCCACGACACTTTCAGGAGCAGTTAAGGCATTATAAGACTATGACACCATTATTACCTTTCACAAACAGGTGTAAACAAATTCACTAGTTATTTTATTGTGATTTTTTTTATGATATGAATTATTTTCTCATCTTCGATGCTACTTTGAGACACTTTTTGCAACATTTAGAAAGCATCCCCCTCCAGCATTGTGGTTTTATGATTTGTAGACCGGATCAAATTGATTAATTTATGGATATTGTAGCATGTGGTTATAATAATTAGCTTCTGCTAGTACAAAACCTATTAAAGAACCTCAGATCTTCATCTTCAAGTTTATGACCTAATATCTCTTTTGAAACTACAAAAACGGATAAAATGCCAAAGAAATAAGAGTAGCAATAGACTGAACTTGTACGATTTATTTCCACTAATAGCACATTTTTTCAGCTTTTATGTGAATAAAATTGTAAATATTCTGTTAGGATTTGTTTGATTCCAAGACCCTGAACGCAGCGTTTCATGACCCACAGTGGGGTCCCAACCCCAGCCTTTGGGAGCATTGATCTACACCCCTACCAGGGGATATATTGTTTTCTGACAGCATGACACCTTTTCACATTTAAGGATGCAAGTATGTTGAATAAAACATGGAAATCTCTGAGGTTTTTTTCTAGATGGCTTGTCATTTCACCCCTGGAAGCCAGTACCTGCAGCAGGACACAGAGATAGGACCAGGTTTTTCATCAGCAAACAGAGATATTGGATTTTAATAATGCACGAATGCGTGTGTTGTGCTTGTTCTAGAGGAACTTGCGATTAAAAGCAGAGTACTGCTCTGTAGAACAATTGGTGCATGCACATGTATGATTTCTGCACTCAGGGTTCAGTAAATTGTTCCAGCTTCCAGCGTGCTTTGTCCCAGTTCAGCGAGAAGTACAGGTTACATGGGGCGAACCAGCTGTTCCCAAAGTGTAGGGAAAAGAAGCGTCGCGTGACAACAAACATGGCAGAATCTGACATTGAATTGAGGAAAGAAAAGTGTGCATGTTTGTCCATGTTTGCATGCTCATCTGTGAAGGTCGATTTAAAAAATTTTTTGGTTTGATCTGGTACTTTGACTCAAGGCTTGTTTTCAGGTTTCTGTGAGTTTATGTTTGTTTGGAGCGTCTCCTCCCTTAGCCCCTCAGGCCAAGGGAGGAAACAGAGAGGCTGCCGTGAACTCTGCCATAAAACAAATAATCTAAGTATGCACACAAGCAGGACCTTACTCCTCTGTGTCATTTTTGTGAGAAAGGACGAATTCTTACAGATGGCCAAAGAAGACTAGGTCTAGTTCACTAGGCTATCAGATCTCCTCATCGAAGGTCAATGAGTCAGAATCCGTTTTTTATAAAGACATCGTCCAAAGCAGCAGTCCTTTTTTAACGCACTAGAAAATACCTAACTAGAATATCTGTTTGGGGAGCGTCATGCTGGAATCCTACACATGTGCATCTATATGGGGTTTAATGTTTAGTCTACTGAGCAAGGTTGATTAATGGCCAGGGTAACATGTGGGTATGTGTCTGGGTTAGAAAAAAGACAGTTTAACCCTCACAAACATACCCAAGCTTGTCATTTATTTGTCTAGATTAGAGTCTAATTGGACCATATAAACACATCTAAGTCCTTCAAGGTAAAATAAACAGATCAGTTACACTTGGAGTATTAAACAAGGCCACAGCTAAATCCGACCCTGCCCCTTCGAAACAAAAGCATGCTCATTGTCTAACCCCACATGCAAATTTATTTTAACTAATTTGTTCTGCATCGTTGACACCTAATCAGCCAAGGAGAATCCCTTTTCCTATTACTGCATCTTCACATTATTCATGCTGCCTTTTCATTCAGTAACTCAAACTGGCAGGGATGACTAAATTGACTGAGAGGGATTTAAAACAATCTCACTAGTCTCCGTTGAGTCTACTCAGCGGGTTAATTAAAGCTATTTTAGCTTCAACGTAGGTGGACTGGCGCAAGCATGGCTCTTATTGCAACAAGAAGTCTGTGTGAGGACAAACAGGATGTAGTTTAAAGGCTGATTGCTCTCCTACAGTGTCTGCATCATGTCTATACGGTGAAAAATTCCTTCCAGTCTCTGAAAAAGTGTTGTCTCGACCTGGAGAGATATAGTAATAAAAAAATGTGCTTGCATCATCGGGACCTGTGCATGATGGTGCAAGGCAAGACGACTGTTTGCCTGACTCACACACCGTGAGAAATTTGAGCAGATACTTTTTTAAGTGTGTGAATATGTGTTTTTTCAGCCAGCTTGTAAAATGCATGTTTTATTGTTGAGTGGTTGAATTTCTCATGGATGTCTTTGTGTGATTGCAGTGCCTGGAGATGGACAACACAACTCTGCAGAGGATGAAGAAGCTGCTAAAAGCCATACACACCTCTGGGCTCTGTAAGTGTCAGAAGACTGGCCACGCTGTCGGCTCAGAGCTAAACTGGGAATCACACACAGTGGTCGTGTAAAGCATCATTTAAAATAAAAGGCAGAAATTTGCAATCGTTTAATGTGGCTGTTTGTAGTTTGCTGGGGATAGGGGGCAGTACATACATTTCAGCGTAGTTTTAAACCATATCGCCATGACGCACGGTAAACATTGTTACCTGTCGAGCAGAAAGCATGCGATCTCGGCACAACTCAGATTTTGATGTTTCCGTAATTTCATCGAGATAATGCAATTTCAATTGTAAATTTCTGGCGCTGTAGTTTCCGGTGTCGGTACAAGATCTGCTCGGGTGCAAAATCGGCTCGGGGTCCGTCGACTGCCGATGACGTCCAAGTAGTTGATTGGCTGAACATGAACCTTACGGAATTACGTAATCACGTTATGTTGTTATCACGTTACGTTGGTCCAGGCAAATCTTTCTGTTGGAAAGATGGACAATTTTTACAAAGAAATCCATCATTACCTCTTTGAAAATACACTTTTAGCATAGAGCTGCATGTATATTAGGGCTGAACGATTAACTGCATGTGCAATTAAATTGCGATGTGACAAAAGGAGATTTTCTAATCGCAAAGGCTGCAATTTGGCAGCGAGTGGTTAGCGCAATGCTAACTTAATTTAGTGTGTTTAGTGTAGAGTTTAGTTTAGTGTGTTATTACATTTCTTTCTTACTGCCTAAATGTTTTTGAACGTGGTAACATAACTTCCGTAAGCCGTACGTCTAGTGTGACGTCCTTACCAGGCGCAGGACCCCGAGCCGGCCAGAAGGAAACATGGCGTCCCCTGTAGATGCTAGACACACGCACTATGTACTTTAGACCCAATTTTTATGGTTATGTGTTACAAAGCCGTCAATATAACAACTGGACATCATTTTATTCATTGTCAACAACGTTTCAGTGGATATTTCCAGAGATTAACAGGGTGTTTGTCCATATGAATGACAAGAGATGTTAAATGTGGTCTTGCACTCCGTCTGTGATTTTGTATTCTCTTACATTCAGCTACGTGGACTGCGGCGCAGCTTCTCTGTGTCTTACACGCTCCCGGCGGGGATTGAAAATAATAATAATAACTTTATTTTAAAAGCCTTTTCAAACAAAGCACTAAACAGTATGGTATAAAACAGTGTAAAAATCCCGAGGAACAATGTGGCTAAGAACAATATATTAAAAAACAGCAATGCAGGTAAAACCAGATGTATTATAAAAATAAGAACAGATTAAACATAGTAACTCTCAGAGCATGCCTACCCAAAATCTTGAGGTCAACTTTTCCACACCGGTTCACGAAAGGAACCCTTTGGAACCTGTGCGCCTAGGTAGGTCATAAGAAACCTCAATGCCGCTGTAGCGCCAGTCAAGCACCCGGTGTAAATTGGGGGTCGGTACGTGAAGAAATAGTCTTGCAGTGTGTAATTTATGCCTTTGAATGACAAATGAAAAACCCATAAATAATAGTGAACCTGACAGTGGTCTAAAGGTTTGTAACATAGCATTGCTTTAACGGTGACATTTTGGACACTGGAGTCAGCTGCTTTGCTCAGACTAGCCGTTAGCTCATCAGTCTTGTAGGATGTAAACACTATTTTTCCTAACAGGCTTCTCAGATATCTAACTAATAAAGGTACGGTGGTACTTAAGTATAGCTTTTACACACTTTGAAATAATGAAAATGCTCCTTTAAGTTTGGTCCAATTAGTCAAATAAAGATTTAACATTTTTGTAAAAAAAAATGCATAAGTTTGTAACTGGTGGAGCTTGAGTTTGTAGCTGTGTTTATGAGACAGGGACCAGGTAGGTGATTGTGTTTGTAGACGATACAGAAAGAGGATTTTGTCATATTTGTGTTGAGGTAATGTAATTTTGACAACAGCACCAACAAGCAAAGTTAGATTTTCCTCCAGGTTTGTGTGTTTCATGCAGCTCCTTAACACGGTTAACTCAGAATTTTGCAAAAAATCAGCCAGATGTACAGAATTAACTAACCAGTTACATCTTTGTTCCATTGTGAATCCCTTTTCGTCTCCTTTACCTCTTCCTGTGTATCTATGGGTCATATATGAGTCGTATGGGTCTATCTCGGTATTACGGTGAATGGAGCCTTAGTTCTTCCTCACTCATTATGTTTATGGATCTCTTAACTACTCCTGAGGTTAACTAGATGGGCGATCTGATGCACAACAGGAACAGACGGACTCATACGCCCACTGCTCCGCCTGCTCCCGATAGCCTCATAATGTGTCACACATGCAAAAACACCACTTTGTGAGGAATTCTCTCATTTTGTTTTCTATTCCAGTAAATTGTAAGTACAAGTGTTCTGCCAGCATGTGGTGGCAGTGTGTGTTCTAGGTCTAGGAGACCAGCTTGGAGAGTAGAGTTTCTCTGGTGGCATCTGGCTGTTAAAGGTCAGCTGTAAAACCAACCTCTGACTCAGCGATGACTCAGCTACTTGTTTGCATCTTGTGTGTTAGGATTTAATTTTCTAAGCTGCCGCGATAGTTCTGCGTTTTTGTTAACATGGAATGTTTAATGTTCTCTGGTTGTTGTACAGGTTGATCCGTTATGCTCAAGGGCAAGGGTTCTCAATTATCCTGACACACACACACACACACACACACACACACACACACACACACACACACACACACACACACACACACACACACACACACACACACACACACACACACACACACACACACACACACACACACACACACACACACACACACACACACACACACACACACACACACACACATCTGAGATGGTAGCAGATTCCTGGCCTGGGGCCTCATTTATCAAGCGTTCGTTGAAACTGTCCTATATTCCCTCTTACGACCGAAATTTAGAATGTGTGTACGAACAGTCAACAGACTGATTTATGAAACATGCAGTGACCTCCCCTACGCACGTTCCTCCACAGTCGTCTGATGATAAATCCCACCTCTGCGTACTCAGGTGCTCGTGTCCATTTGCCATCATTTACATAGAGAAACGCCCTCAATTAACCATATTTGGTCACGCTACATCCTCAGCACGTGAGGAAATTCCCTGTATTTTTTTATTCTTTTTTTTTTTCAACAAAAAAAAAAGAAAACTTTATTGACAGCAAGATCAAAACACTAGCTGCCGAAGCGCTAAAGAACTCAACAAGTTGCAGAGGTTATAAACGCGGTTTGGACAGAGAAGTTTCTGTCAGAAATAAATAGGGCTGGGCAATAAATCGAAAATTTATCGTTATCGAAATGTCTGACTCTTATCGAGATAAATTTTCCCATGTCAATAAATTTGATAGTAAAAAAATGAAAAGATGTGTGTAGGTTGGCAACGTTCATGTCCCTTGAAGAAGCTGTACCACCTTGAGTCACGTAGAAGTGTGACTCAACGTAGTACATGTGACAGCCCCATCTAGTGGACATTTTTTGTTTCTGCGCATACCTGTAGTTCTCGTCCATTTGTCGTTATCAAGGTAAAATCCTCAATATATCGTGATATTGATTTTAGGCCATATCACCCAGCTCTAGAAATAAATAAAAACGAATATGATAAATCATGGAGTAACGGGTCGTTAAGAAGTCATTCTGTGTGAAGTTAGTTTTATTTGGAAATGTTGTTTGAGAGCTCAGTCTCTTCTGAGCTGTCATTCACTCTGGTTGGTATGATCGGGGAGCAGAGGAGGTTCTGGGGGCTTCTCGTAGTTGTAAACTAAAATATGAACTTGAATCGGATTCGTTGCTCTGCAAAGGATCCCAAATCACAGCACAGCTGTGTGTCTTTTATTGATTTTAGCACCAATTATGCGAAAAAGCCGTTTTTCAACCGACATGATTACATACTGGATAAATAAAATTTGTGGATGAGAAACACATTTAGATGACTGAGACATTTGGTATTGCGCTTCCCCGTTCTGCCACTAGATGCATGTGTGTATGCACGGTCAGAGATGTCCTTAAATTTAGAAACGTTTCTACGCACAAGTACAAAATGATAAATACCACACAACGCGTAGAATTGTTCCTACGCATTAAATACGCACAGATGTGTGCGTAAGTACGTTTGATAAATGAGGCCCCTGACCTGAGTTATTGTCCCAGTCATTCTCTAATTCTCTCCCACCAAACCATTCACCGTTCAGCTAGGGGTTAGCAGTTAGCATTTTGGTTGTACTCATTGCCCTGACCCATCCACCTGGTGGTTTTAACGTTGGAATGGTGACCGTTTGAATAAGAAATCTATCTGAAAATACACTCCAGAACTGGTGGTGGTTGAACAAGCAGTCTGTGAAATCACATTCTGGCTTGTTTTTTTTGTGTGTGTTACTGAAGATTAAGTCCAACCATTTCTCCCGATATTTCAGGAAGACTGGACATGGATCTAGTATCTCTTGCCTTCGTTGGTTGTAGGCATTATTTAAAGTGCAGGCTAGATAAGAAAAATCACTTCTTCAGAACTGGGGAGCTTAAACTCCCTGCTAGCTACACGGAGAGACTGGGTGTCAGTGTTTACAGTCTGGGGAAGAGGGGTCTGGTTTTGAGACTCCCTGGATGTGGAGGAGCGGGGCATGATAACGTAACAATTGTCCATCCAGGCTTCTGCAGCCGCTGAGCAGACCAGCAGAGGATTAGGACAGGAAAATGTTAGCCTAGAAATCTAGACAGACAGTAGCTGAAGCTACATTTTTTTTTCTGTGCATGTCGGTCTAGTGACATTCTGTTTACCATAACATGGTCAAAAGCTTCAAAAAGTGGATTTTGAATGATATAGGACAAACTGCTGTTTGTGCTGTTAATATTTTCATGGAACTAAACAAACTTCTAACTTGCAAAGTAGGGATGGGTACCGAATTCGGTACTTTTTAAGGTACTGACCGAATTCCACAGTACCGACCGAGCACCAATTCACTTCATTTGAAACGGTGCCTCGTTTCGGTACCCGTCCTTCACAACGAGAACTTGCCTAGACAGCTGCGCATGCGCAAGAGCGTTATGTCATCGGTCGCTGCGAGCGAGTTGTAAACAGAGCAGCTCCGGTAGGTAAATAAAATGTTTAAGATAACGTTAGCTTGATTTGTCATTTTCCGTTTCACTAATGGTGCGTTCGCTTTCTCCTCGGAACTCCGAAATTCCGACTAGAAGAACATGAACGCGCTCTAAAGTTTGGCTTCACTTTACTAAATGCGACGGGTGATTGGGTGAAGATGAAACCAGTGACAACGATTTAAGTGTGAGGCATCATCGTTTTAATCTGTTCCAGCAGTTAAATAAACTGTTTAAGATAACGTTAGCTTGATATGTTAGCTTCCTATGCCACCATTGTTATCATCTAATGGTGCGTTGGCTGTCTCCTCGGAAATTCTAACTTCCCAGTAGGAAAAATCAATTGAAAAAGGACGGCAAAAGGAATGAAGATACACAGTAAATTTAGTTCACAGTAAAGATGTTTGCTTCAGTTTAATTATCAACTTATAAAACTACAAGGAAGATGTTAAAATACAAACAGTTGTATGTTATTTATTGTGATATTTATCAAATATGGTTATATATTGAGAAAAATATATATTTAATTATAAAAGAGAATTAAAAATAATAAACACTCAAAAGTATCGAAAATTGGTACCGTTAAGTACCGGTATCGATTCGTAGGTACCAGGAATTAGTACCGGATCGATTCAAATGTCAAAGGTACCCATCCCTAAGGTCCTGACCCTGAAAGCCAAAGAAAATCTCCTGCACCATAAGGGGCATAAACCCAAGCTAATTCATCCCATATGTCTGTCCTGTTGACATATTCCCGAGGCAATGGGGCGAGTGTGTCTGACTCTGTCTGATTTCTTCACTTATAACCAAAGTCTGAGTCATTTTTATTATTGGCTGCATTTATACTCACACTCCTTTCTGGTTGTTTTATTTCAGCCCATGTGGAAAACAAGGAGCAGTATATTGAGATTCTGGAGATCTTTGGGAATAGCCACCTGACCCAGGACAACAATGAAATATCCACTGGCTTCCTCAACTTGGCTGTGTTTACCAGAGAGGTCACGGCTCTCTTCAAAAATCTGGTGAGGAAAAGAAGAATGCTGGTAAAATGGCATTAAGTAAGACTCACGAGAGTGAGGGGTTCATAACCAAGAAGACAAAAAGCTCCAAAATTAAATCATAGTGAAATCTGAACTTGTGCCGTGCACCTTTTCACCCCAGCTAGTCCGGAACCTTCCCACTGATGGTCTCTATGGTGATGATAATTCATCCCAGACCTGCACGTGTGAGTCAGCACACACACACATTCACCGTACGACACACACACGCCCTCCAGATCATCCATCAGAGCCTCACAGCTGAAAAAAGGACTTAGAGATGGGAAAGTGGACCCAAAAGACCAAAACAAGAGTTCTGTAAAGAAGTATTTGTTTAAATCAGCCTTGTCCAGCGCTGTGTGCATAGAAGCATCAGATTTTTATGTGTTGACAGTGGGAGCTGGCATTTCCCTGTGCAAGAACTATTATCAAAAGGTTAACTAAAAGTTTGGATGCCAACCAAAACAATCCCAATGGGCCCCTGTGTCAATATGTGCAAGGTTAGCTCTGCAGTCAGCTCCCGGAAATAATGAAACATTATTTATCTTAAAGGGCGGAAAGGAGCTTGACTGTAATTTACCAGAATACCTGGAAAGGCTGCAGTGACATTTAGAAAAAAAAACATCTGGTTACCTGGGAACTAATGGAGGGGATTACTGATTAATGCTGTCTACATGACAGGATTTGGGATCATCCTGATTATGATTCACTAGCAGTGATTCCACTATTGACCCTTTGCACGTGACGTCACACCACTCATGAGACCGCCGCCTTCGCCATGATGGATGGCAAAAAGACTGTTTACACCCATTGAAACTCGAGTGAAGCTAGTCAAAATAAGCCAGTTTGTAGCCTTTTATCGCTTTTATTTAGTTGAATTGACAGTAAAATGGTTTTAGCTTGCTGCGTGGTTGGCTGCACTAAGAGACAAGGATGTAAACTCAACTCGTTTTTTTTTTTAATAACTTTGATGGAGACTGAGGACGGAGATGAACTGCAGCGATCAATCGAGCGGACTAGCAGCTCTCAGATTTGCAGCGAACATGTTTTTACCGGGTAAGATTAACGTTCATTTATTTCACGAGGAAGACGGGGACAGGGATAAATGTGATGTGTTTATACAAGTTATTGATAATCCTTATGGTTGGGTATTTCACCATGGAGACTGCGCGCCGTCCACTGTAGTGTAAAGCGAGACAATTATTGACAATATTAAAGCTCCGATGTATGATTACGTGTGTTAAAATTACGTTATTTATTTATATGAGCGTCGCCGTTCAGAGATCTTCTCATTCCGGTGTGAGAGCAGCAGCTGAACCCGGTAACACCACCAGCAACAGAAGCTAGTAGGGATCCGGACTTTTTAAAAATCAGCTTTGGTGTAAAGTGATACGCTGTTTACAACATAAAGTTATAAATCCAGAGGGGTGAATTTAGGCAAAATCAGCAACATGTTTACATCGGTGAACAGCTGCAGAGAGAACGTAAGCTAACGTTGGTAAGCTAGTTAACATACTGCTCTCTATGAGCCCCCGCTAGATGCGCTACTTCTTCTGATAACTGAACTGGGCATGAACTAGTTGAAGGAATGCTGGAGGAGTTTTGTTTTTGTTTTGATCGCAAAAACAATTTCAGGCTCTACTTTTCCCTTTGTTTACTACTCGTGTCGCGCACTGTTTACATGCTTTTGCCTCCACCATGGTGGACCCACGTGATAAGGTGACATCGGTGCAAAGGGTCAATAGGCAATTTCTGGGAGGGAGGAAGGTGACGGGGAAAATACGCTGACCTGGTTCCCTCAGTCGTGTTTTTAATTGAAAATCAGTCCTTCCAGGACTTTGCTAAGACGTCAGCTTATGCCAACCATTTGAACAACAAAATAAAAAAATTGTTCTGTCAAAGTTCGCCATTTCTGGGGGACTGGTAGCAGGCGCGTTGCAAGCTTTTCAAAAGTGTGGGGGATGTTGTCTGTGCCTAAAATAATTTCATGTGATTCATCTTGTTAGTTTAATTTCCATAATAGCTGAGCAGGTGCGGATTTTAGACGCGTCACGCATGTCTCCGTTTTAAACATGTTTAAACTGTTCAGAATACAAATCCAGGCTCTGTCTCGTTAGATTGGTGTAACTAAAGTTTGTACTGAATGAAAGTGCATGAAACCGCGTTGAAAAGGTAAGAAAAGGATCAGATCGTTTCCCCCTCATTTACTGTCAGCGCAGTGCGCATGGCTCTGGGGTTAATCAAGTTTAATTGTGTCTCTTTGCAACAATCTTCACAAGAAGGCAAAACAGTCAAATGGCAGGTTACAGATATTTCCATTTGACTGTTTATTTTGACGGATAAAATCAAGGATGTTGGTTGTTTTGAAAGAATTACACTGATGCGCACACAGATGAGCTGACATTTTAATCGTTACGCACATCGGGAGGTAACTAAATTAATCAAGAAAAGATTCTCATCAGAACATCAGAGCTTTATACTGGACACTGTGCTCAGCGCGGATCGGAGCGCACACGGTGGACAGTGACCTGAAGATCTGTAGAGGGGAGTGCAGCGCAGCGCAGAACCACGGCGCATGCGGCAAGATTTCCTCCCACTGAAGCGGTCTGGAAGCCCGGTCTCTCTGAGGGATGTGTCACTTGGAAAAATGTCCTCTGATTATGAAACTTTGGCTGAATAGCGTTTGTTCGCGTCTCCAATATGGAGACGCATGACACATCCAGTCTGAGGCAGAATAGCCTTTTCAGCTCAGAAAGCACCTGTAGAGACATTTGATCACACACAAAGTTTATGTGGAGCAGAAGCGGTCGGGCCACGGCAGGTGAAACGTTCCTAGCCTACATGAAGTGAAATTGTTTAATTGTAACATTAATATGTTACTGGACACGCTGGTCTGGTTGGTTAGACCAGTATTTGAAGCAGAAAACATTCACAAACGCGCGCGCATACACACACACAAATTAAAATAATGCTGATAGAGTGGAGAAGACAGGTGATGGTTTACGTATTTAAATGATGATCAGGCTGCTGTAAAATGCAATCTCCATCCACATCCAGACAGAATTATCCTCTATTCTTTATTTGCTCTGCTCTTGTCTGGGCTGATGTAGCTGACGGTGCGCGCCTAGCGGCTGTGATACACACTTTACGCATTTGGAGAGGTGGGCTGGATGCTTTGCTTTTACTAAGATAGAATTTTTTTTTAATGTCGGAGATTTTCCCCCATGAATAACCGTAAAAACTACCGATGTGCATGCACCCTTATGAAAGAGTCCTACGTGGAGAGGTACATATTAGAAGTGCAGGTAATGCATTCTGGTGCCGGTCCACTTAACGCACGGGTGTAGACTAAATATTAATGAAAAATGAATGAACATTAAATAGTGAGTTTTCACTTTATATTTTAGAAATAAAAATGATGGGGGAACACATGACGTCTTTTTAAATGAATTTTTCTAGCGCGACCTGCCTGCTTCACTTAAGTCACTGCTTATTAAGGTCCGTCCAAAATTACCGTGGCCACCCAAAAATGAAAACCTGGCACCGCGCCTGTTATAAACCTCTGAAAATTGTTGTTCTTCACTTTATCAAACTCAGACTTTGTACAGCTAATGTCAAGATGTAAAACTACGAATTCAGTCGAGCTCTTCCCTCCCTCCCTTTCCTGTTCCTCCTCGAAACCCGACAGCCGATGTTGGGTTTCAAGGAGAAACAGGAGAGGGAGGGGAAGAAGGAGATGAGGCAAAGAAGAAGAAGAAGAAAATATCATTTCTATAGCGCCTCAAGATAAAAATCACGAGGCGCTTCACAAAAACAAAAAATGTAAAAATATAAAAAAGAATTTAGAAAATGGCTAAAAATATATTTAAAATGAGCAAGAAATAGACAATTGTGATTAAAAAAATGTTAAGAAAGAGAGAGAGTGAATAGGAAAGAGGGAAATCAGTGGATCCTGAGGAAGTTGGAATAGAGCAGAATAAAGAGAGAGTGGTGAAGAAGTCATACAAAAGCCAGCTTGAACAGGTGAGTCTTCAGCTGTTTTTTAAAGGAGACCACTGAGTCCACTGATCTCAGGCTCAGGGGGAGAGAGGTCCAGAGTCTGGGGGCCACAGCAGCAAATGATCTGTCACCTTTGGTCTTTAGCCTGGTGCGCTGCACAACCAGTAGGCTTTGATCACTGGACCTCAGAGACCTGCTGGGGGTGTAGGGACTAAGAAGATCACCAATGTAAGATGGTGCTTGTCCATGTAAGGCCCTATAGACCAGAACCAGGATCTTGAAATGAACCCTGAAGTTGACTGGCAGCCAATGAAGCTGGAGGAGAAGCGGGGTGAGTGTGATGTAGAGAAACCAGACAAGTGTGGAGGTGAGCAAAACAGCTGGAAAAGTGTGGGTGTTGAAACCCCCACATCCTCCACGGGTGTGACGCCCATGACTGGGAGAGCTGTGTGAAATAAAAAGTCGCGTTCAGTCATCAGAAGATTCACGGATTTTGACGGCGCTTTGTGAGGAACCCATAAAGCGGTGTAAATTATGGCGTCGAGAGTAGGCGTAGACCAATATATTAGACCAATCTCTGGCTGGTCCTGCGACTTATACTCCGGAGCGACTTATATACCAAATTATGTATACAGCGCTGCTGTGGGCCAGGCGGCTCTGACCCAGGAATGAACTCTCTCCGCCTGCTGGGAGGGTTTGAAACACCGCCATCCTCTGCTGGACACCGTAGTGCGCTGCTGCGCCCTGATTGTTTATTCTGTTATTGTTACCGGTACTTGTCTTGCAATGTGAAATGCTTGGTGTCAGATTTTGTAAGAAAAAAAAATCCCCCAAAAATGAAACTTATAGTCCAATGTGACTTATATATATGTTTTTTTCTTCTTCATTATACATTATATTTCTTATTTTATGGCTGGTGCGACTTATACTCCGGAAAATACGGTACCATTTTTTATATACGGTATAGGCATTGGCAAAGCTGTCAGGCACATGCACAAGCAACTCAGAGCTACTGCAAAATTTCATTTAAACGTACATTTATGTTCCTGAAAAACATCTGCATAATAAAGGCTCTAAAACATTATTTTCAACCCCAATTTTTTTTAATATTATTCACCGGTTTTGAGTATTTCATACTTGGTGAGTTAATTGATTTGTTGGATTAAATTTAGTTAGATGTCTGATTTAAATACTCAGCAGTTGGTTAAATTAAATGATCAAAAACTGATTCACATTAAGAAATTTTATGCATCAACTGATGTTGTTGGTGGTATTTTAGCATTCAAATAAGATGAAAAACATCTAGAAACCGTTTGTGACAATCGGCAGCACAGATCGGTACCGGCTATTGAAAAAAAAGATGTTGGTCAACTTCTAGTTTAGAAATGGTGATTTTAAAGCAACATCAACACTGTTTATTTTCTTTTCCGTCCATTCTGCTTCAACAGCTTGCAGATGTAATTTCTCACTGAGTTACAACCAGTCAGCATGAGTTAACCACAAGTCCCACCCGCGTAAACACTCCAGTTCAGGTACTCGGTTGGTCCCTTAAATGGCCTGGTAAGTGGTCCTTCTGGGACGGCCAGTGAGATGGAGACCTGCGTCTACTGGGAAGGTTTGGTAAAATTACCTGGAAATCCCAGTAGTAACCATTTGATCTCCGGTAACAAGTTTGTGTTATTTCCATTCAAACCTGAATGCTTTACTGTAAACTAACTCATTCACGAGATTGCATCACATCCAAAACCTGTGCGCTGTAATTTCCAGAATTCTTTTTTGATGTATCACAAGTTCAGAACATCTGCACCACCATGTTTTGGGGATTGCTAATTCTCATTCCCAGAAACATAAGACCATTTAAGCCATGCAGTGGAGTGCACTAAATTAGTTTAACATAAGACATACAATGCTTGATTGAGTGGAAAATGCAATTTTTGTGATGTCATGTGGAAGCTTTGATATTTCTTCTGTCATTTTGAAGCTTTTTTTTAACATATTTTAGGTGCAAAACCTCAACAACATCATGGCGTTTCCTCTGGAGAACGTGCTGAAGTCTGAACTCCGGGATGGTAGGCTAGTGAGTATGACATACCTTGATGCAAAAACACCCTGGTGGACAATTATACCATTGTTTTGTGGATTATACTTGCCCAAAAAATTAAATCTAACCTTTATTTTCCCCCTAAGTAGATAATGCTGTCTGTCTGGGTTGTAGTCACTGTTGAATCTGCTGAGATTTGGGATGATAGGAGGTTATTTATGCAGATTAAGTGTGATTGAAACTGAGCTGCATTCTAACTGCGAAGTTATCCATCTTGCTCAGTATATGGTTTTCTTGATTTGCCAACAGAGCAGTAATAACACACTAATGCATTTGTAAGCTCCCGTCGCTGCTCTGTCTTTAAGGAGCCCATTCTTTTTGGCTTCATTATTACTGTGAGAGTTGGCAAAGTGCCACTAAAATCCAGTCCAGGCAGCCAGACGGGACACAAGTTACCCTAATAAGAATTATAATCATCTTTGTGCTGTAACTGTTTCTCTTCCTTCACAGGAGCTCAAGAAAAATATGGAGAAGAGATGGAAAGATTACGACATAAAATTGTAAATAAGATTTTTTTTTATCAGTAACATTTGATTCTCTTGTTTTTCTTTGAGACCTGAAATATTAGACAGATGTACCGGTAATTACTTTAGGAGCAGGAGCTGCTGTAAGTTAATATGGCAATTCTATGTTACATTGCTATGAAATGTAGCCGACGCACCTGCACTTTACAGATAAATAATTAGATCCTTAAAATATGGTTTAAAGTGTTTCATCTTATTATAAGGACGCTACACCTCTTTTCCGGGTCTTTCCTCCAGTCTTTTATTTTGAAGAAGGATAATACTTGATTTAAAGGGGTCCTAGAACATTAGATGGTATATGAATTTCTGTTGAGGTTCACAATGGCCTAGGAGCTCTGATAAATGGCTAAATACAACCTCACAATAAAACCTTGCAATAGAAAGACCGGTTTATCTCGTTCACTGAATATTAAACAAGCTTCATGCTGATCAGCCAGTGTACCCTGATGACTGTATGACAGTGCCTTAAAGCTGCTTTCCTCTTTTAGAAATTACGTATGATTTGTCAGAAATCCGTAAAAGTGATTATCTTATCATGTACTGTGATATAATATAAGCAATGCGTCTTTTTTTATTAATTTTTTTGCTAAGCACGCCCCCTGCCCGGCAGAGCTCCGTGCAATAGGAAACTGAGCGCCAACCAGAACTAACCAATAGTGTTAGACTACCGCTTAGACGCTTCACATTTAAGGAATATACTCGTAAAATACTCGTAAAACAACGTGTTTTAGCTCAGTTTGTCGGCTACAGAAGCACATTTATAAACAGAAATGTGAAGTCGCCATCTTAAAAAAAAACAGAGGAACAGCGGTTTTGTGTGATACGCCAGTCAGCCACTAGATGGTGCCATCGGATAAGAGAAATACTCCAGAAAGAAGCTTTAAGCTAGAAACTCTGTGTACAGCCGTGTACGGTTTCTCGATAACTCAATAGACAAGCTATGGATCTATCAAGTGTTCTGGACATTCCCAGTACATTCTTGAACGTTACTTTTGTGCTCTAACATTCTTTGTTTTTCTCATTGGCAGTAACGTGGAGTAGATTTACTCTCAGGTGTAGCATCAAAGCGTCTGCTTTTAATGTCACGCCTGATTCTTAAGACTTTATTGTTAGTGTTTTTTAATGCTTGTAATTCCGATCAGACACGGAGACAGAGGTGAAAGAGAAAGGAAAAGACAAAAGGGGGGGGGGGGGGCACAAAAACAATTAATCAATGATGAGCAAGAGTCTGCTTCTAGACCTGCAGAAGGAGAAAAAAAATAAGGGACACACAACAATACAACAGGAGCAAACCATCACTGCGTCAAACGATGAGGAAATATAAAATCAACATTGTTTTACTGAACAATCACGATAATAAATCACAGTGTATTAAGTGCCAACCACAGCCTTAAGACATGTGTTAAACGTGCCCAAGTCCATACTCATGAGAACACCATGTGAGCACCTGTGTGCGTACCTGTGCTTGTATATATAAGGTTTCTCTATAGGAGCGTCCAATAGAGAGTGTGAGGGACCACAGATCTGCCCCCAAAGATACGTAGGAGATGGAAGGAGCTCCAAGTCTCAGAGATCCAGGAGCTGCCCCAGAGCGCAGAGACCCCAGGGAGACTGCGATCAGAAATGCCCCTGCCCCCTCGAGAGGCGCAGAGGATTGCCCCGGGGGGCCACAACCAGCAGCCAGCAGAGTCCCGGGGAATATCAGCGGCAAGCCCACAGGCCCGCCCGCAGCCTCCCACCCCCAAGCCGGCTGAGCCCGGAACCCAGCGACCCGGGACCCAGGGGCGACCAGCCCCGCCGGGGACCCTACAGAGCCCAGGGACTCAGATCCCACCAGAAAGCCACCGGGATCGATCAGGCAAACGCCAAAAATCTTAAACCCCCTGACCCGGGAGCCGCGAACACTCAGGCAGACCAAGGCACCACACTCCACACCTAGCGTGGCAGGGGGAGGGGAGGCGAAGATGTATAGCAGCAAAAGAAGTCCCAGGAGAGGGGAGGAGTCAAAGGCCCCACCTGACATATACAGTCATACACAAACACAGTCACACACTCCCTCCCTCATGCTCTCACATACACATACAACCTAAGACTTACAAAAATGCACGCCAGACATCCACTCATGCTCCCTATACACACCCTATTCACTCTAGTCTCGGTACTGCTGCACATGGGTTACAACCATCACCGGTTTCCAGAGTTTGACCCTTTCTGCTGGGGTGCTAATGAGCATCCCCCACCCAACGTCGAGCAAAGCAACCCACCACCTCAGACCCCAGCCAGACGGCCAGATCCCCCTCCTTGCCTCCAGCCCCGGAAAGCCAAGCGACAACAGAGGTGTGCTAAGTCCCCTAGTGTTCCTCCGCCTGCTCCAATACTGTGTTGGTGCGTGTTGATGAGGTGTATTCGTGGCTGTGGTGAGCGGGCAGTGCAGGCATCATCTGGCCTACACCAGCTCATGCCACCACACCACCCCTCTTCCCCCCACAGCCCTCTGTGTCTTAAGTGCAGTTTAAAATTGGAAGTGGGCACTGGCACTTGGGATGAGGCTGCCAAATGCCATTGAATGTGCTCACTCCCAAGTGTGTTTGGGGTCCATACATGCACCCCCAGACTTGTCCACCCCCCAAGGTCCTATGTGCATGTTTGTGTGATGATGTGAGGGAGCAGGAGGAGAAAAATGTATGGGGATGGGGAGGAATGGCTGGATGGCCTAAGCCCTCCAGGGAGCCAGCTCCCCCACTGGCCCCAATAGGCACCTCTGTTGCCAAAATGCCACCCAGGGCATGGAGACCCCCCAGCCCATCTCACCAGGGCCCAAAGCAGCAGCATCGCAGAGCTCCACGGAGTCCGAGGGAACCAAGGCAGCCCCACTGCAGCAGAATATCTACCCTGCATTTGCACAGCTTCCAGAATATATAAGACATAGGACATCCAGGTAAGGTTGGGTCCTCCCCCTCCTGGACATCCCCCTCCCCGTGATGGGACAGCAGAGGAGCCATGGTCTACCCGAGGCCCCTGAGCCCGGGTCAGGCACTGCCGCATGTTCCCGCCTTCTTCCCGGCAGCATACATGTCAGGACCTGACCCCCTAGGCCCCGCCTAGATCCCCATACGGGGCCACACCCCAAGCCCCCAGGCCCCCACCCAGACCTACTCAGGGACCACCATACTTAAGGTGCTTATGTTGTGAAATACCAACTTTGCCCAGAACAAGCCTTTTCTCCGTAGCCATTACTACATTACACATTTACATAAGAAAGCAGGTCGTAGACAGTTCAGACTTTATGATATGCTACATTAAACACGCCAAGCCCCCTATGTTCAATAACAACAACAAGGTCAATATGGTTTTGATTTCTGGGACCACTTTAAGAATAAACTTCCTAATAGTTCATGAGAATTAATCAGACAGTTGGGGGAGGGCATGAAAAGAAGTCTTTTATCTTATTTCTGTGTGGATCCTGCTTCCTCTACCAGAGGGAAGCTGGAAAAAGAGAGGAAAGAGAAGACCAAACAGCTGGGCCTGATCAGGACTGAGGTGGGATCAGATGGGGGGGAGGACATGGAGCGCGAGAGAAGAATCTTCCAGCTGCAAATGTGTGAGGTGAGGGGATCAAAGCCAGTCAAAATACAAAAGTCCTCTCCAGTTCTTTTAATACTTGAAGTTGTCTTTTCTAGTTCACCTGGGTGGTCTGCCTTGTGGTTTCTGTTCATCGCCATCCCCGCTTTTAATCTCCAGAGTGATTTAAAAGACCTTTTATAAAGCTAAACAAAGGATTTGATTTAAATGCATCAGTCTCAGAAGAGTTGTAGTAGAACTTTTTTTTTAATATTTAAGATAAACCTCAAATTAAAAGCAGAATGTGTGCTAAAATGTGTAGTTGATAACTCTACTGAAGGTTTTGTTCCTCACAGGTTAAGTTCAACTGCTTCACTTATGTCAGGATAAATAAATAGATCAAATCCTGCTGTTCAGACCAAACAAAGAGGCCAGAGAATGGAATTTCCACTTGCTGCATCCCGATCCATCTTGTCAGACTTTCCTCTTCCCTCTGCTTTCACATACTTTGCTGCTTTAACCACAGAGACAGATGTAGTTGATATATATACTATTTTTGTTTTAGTGAAGTTGGTTTCACTCACCAAAGTGCATTGACCTCCTAGGTCCTAGGGTGCTGAAATCAGAAATGCATACATAACAGGATATTTTAAACTGAATCTAAACGTTTTTCTGCTTATAAATGAGCTTTGATGGGTCTTCATGATCTGCTTTTAACTTTCGGTGTTTCAGTATCTCTTGAAGATCCAGGAGCTGAAGGTACGAAAGGGTCCTGATCTTCTGCAAAGCCTCATCAAATACTTCCAGGCCCAGGTCAGGTCAGTCTCGACCAAACGTAACACCAGTCATCAGAAATGGGTGTAAAATGTTCTCGCTGACATCAAAGCATATGGGTGCAGTTTGAGGTCGGTCGGGTATTCTAGCTCTACTTAAGGCTGTCTGCTCATGTTTTTTAACCATTTACCCATTTTATTCATGCCAAAGTTTTAATGTGGGAACAGAGTAGCTTACACAGTGTCAGCATGTGATGTATTTTTGCTGCTGAGTGTGTTTGGAGTCGTCCCATCATGACTCAGCGTTTTGTTCTGCTCTTAGTTTCTTTCAGGACGGGCTGAAAGCCGCAGAGAATCTCATTCCCTTCATTGACAAACTTGCTTCCTCCGTTCACACGGTAAGTAGCTGCTTCCGCGGGGCTTTTATTTTCCTTCGGTTTTCTTTATGCACTCAAGTGGTTAAAAGAGCTTTTAAGGTTAGAGGGAATTTCCCTCCACACCTGCTCCACATTTAGGGGGATTCACGAAAACTGGGTTGGATGACACTCGTGTCCTTCACTAAACGTGTCTTGATCATTTTTATAGTAAATAACAGTTGCACTGTTTTAGTCTGTGGTGGATTTTGGTTGCTTTGCAGACACCTTGACACCCTCGGAGGCGGTTCAGGGTGTTCCTCAGGAAGTTCGTGACACTTTTGTTGAGACAAACTTAAAAATAATTTCCAGCCATCCTGAAATGTTTCTGTGAAAAGTTCAAATAAATTATTAGAGATGGGGGAAAAAACAGTCTGGTCACTTGGCTGTAGGTGGCAATTGGCCAATCCAGAGCTCTTTCTTTTGAGTTTGTAAACTCCATTTTGCTAAGCAGCAGTAAAAAGTACTACATTTTTTCAGGTCTGTGAACTCACCATTGCTCAGAGGTAATTCAGTCTAATAATAACAGATCTTCTACATGGAAGTTTTTACTTGTAGGATGTTAATTTTCAACCTAATTAGAAATGGGGGAAAGGATCCTGCTGATTCTGGTTTTGAGATAAATTGAAACCAGTCAGTCTGCCTCAGCCGTTTAGTGCTTCCTGAATGTTTTTTTTTTTTTTTTGGGAGACATTAGCTTAACATTGAGCTAACGGCTAATCTGAGCTCAGCTGAAAACAAAGTTGGTTAATATAATTTTAAAGCAGCTCCAGTCTCCAAAATTTCAAAGTGGCTAATGCAATTTTTGAAATTTCTTGAAATTGACCCCAGATCCTTAGGCTAGCTGTTAGCTTATCGGTCCTGTAAGTTGTAATTTCTGTTTCTCCTGCAGGAGCCCGTTCACAACACTGTGTGTTTATATCTGTTTACACAGAAACACACTTACATTTTAGAAAATTTGATACCAATTAAAGTTCAATGTTTTAAATTATGTTATATAATAGAATATTTGAACAAAGCAAACATTTAAAAAGCCTCTTGTTTATATAGTAGGTGTTAAAAGAAAAAATGGTAATTTTGTGCAGCTTTCTGCAGTCCTGTACTAAAATTTAAAGCCCGATTTCTTCTGCATTTGATCTGATTGTAGAGGAATAGAGCTCATTATTCAGAAGGCAGAACAATATTGTCTCTGTGTTTTTCAGAAAGCCAAACACACACACACACATACGCACGCATCTTGCTAAATCACAAAAATGACAAAAAGTGCATTAAAGCAAATTTTTCAGTTCCTTTTATTGAAGCAGTTTCACTTTCGCCGTTGCAGCCAGGCCTTAACTCACACATAAACTGTTATTCAACTCTCTTTCCATCTCTTTAAAAACTCTCTTCATACTTTCCTTCCTGCGCTCCGATTTCTCCGACCACCAGCCTCTAACTGGGTTTCCACTCTGCACAACTTTAGCCTTACTCCTGGGCAGAGCTGTGGAAACAGGCTGTTGACTGTGATACTGGGAGTGTTAGATGTTTTTCTGGTTCTTCGTGGGCAGAACACAGACCCGCTCAGACATGCCTGACCTCAGCTAGAAGGAAGTGCAGATCAAATTTGAGTCATGATATCAGGGGAAAAAAGTGCTGAAATAATTCAGATCAACTGGTATGTTTGTGAAAGAAAAAGAAAAATCTCTTTTTTGCATCATTTCAGAGCAAAACAAAGACGTATTGCTGCTCCACACCCAGATAAAATAAGAACGGAGAACAATGAGAGCACATAACATTTTGATTTGTGTGTGTTTCAGATGCGCGTGGAGCAGGACGAGGAGGTGAAACAGCTCACCCAGCTGAGGGATTCTCTCAGATTACTTCTGCAAGTGGAGGGAAAAGAGGTGGTTGTTTATTTAATAAGTCCTTTATCTAATAAATCACTTTTTAATGCATCACACAAAGAAAAAAAACTAGTGCAGATGGGTTAAAGTTTAGATTTTTTTTTTAGTCACACTGTGTCGTTTTTAAACTTCAACTTTTATAGAATTAGTTTGATGCTTTTAAAATGAAATTTTAAATCTGCGTTTGTTTCCCAGGAGTACCTGAACAGGAAAAACTCTGGCAATGGGTATAGCATCCACCAGCCACAGGGAAACAAGAAGTATGGGACTGAGAAATCTGGCTTTCTGCTGAAGAAGAGCGACGGGTGTGTGGAAAATATCAGGTTTAGCAGAGGAAATATGCATGCATTTAGGATATTTTAATATTTCAAAGTGATAAACACATTTTTAAAGAAGCAGAAGAGATCAGAATCAGTAGAGAGCAAATATAGCATGCACTGGGAAGGGCTTTGTCTGCTCCATCTGGTCTTCATTACTGTGAGATGAAGAGTCGAGCAGGGGCCCTCCTTTAGAGCCTTTTGGCAGAGCAGCTACAGGAGCTGGTCCAACTTTACGTCACACACACACACCACACACACACACACACACACACACACGCACAAACACGCACACGATAGGCTGAAGGGAAGACCAGAGGAGATTCTCCTCAGGCCAGTGACAGAAGACAGAGCATGAAAACTGTCAGTGGGATTAAAACAGACTCACGTTTAGTGTTTTCTTCTTTTCATCAGCGGTCTGTTCATAACCCACCCAGAATGGTTGTGCTGCATCAGTAAAGTCAGAATGTTCTAATTAAACCAGAAACTTTCATCTTGCAGAATCAGAAAAGTCTGGCAGAAGAGGAAATGTGGGGTGAAATTTGGATGCCTCACTATTTCACACAGTACGGTAAGGCCTAACAACTGAAACATGTCGGCGCATAAAAACGCATTTCTGTCCACTCTTCTCTTTGCAAACCCTCTCTGATGTTTGGTCTAAGATCAATCGTCCACCAGCGAAGTTGAACCTCCTGACCTGTCAGGTACGGCCTGACCCGGAGGACAAGAGGACCTTTGATTTGGTCTCTCGTAAGTTCAGCTTTCATTATCTCGTCTTCATCAGTAGGAGCAGTCGTCTGAAAGGCAGCTGTTTGGCAGCTTGTTGTGCAAGCAGTGCTGTTTATGGTTTTGTGCCAACAATATTTTCTTTTGTGTCCAGATAACCGAACGTACCATTTCCAGGCAGAAGATGAGCAGGAATGCATGATGTAAGCGCTGAGATTTGTGAGAATAAGCCGCTACATGTGGTGCATCTTTTATTTCAAGTCAAGCCTGTGTGTGAAAGGAGCTTTGCAATATCCACATAAAAACCAAGAAAGTGTTTTTTTTTTCCACTCCTGGGCTTCCTCTTGTGTTTTAGCCTACAGGTGCACTGTTTTGATTTGATGCGTTGTGAGTTTAGGTTCACAGAAAGTGTTAGTGAAGCAGAGAACGCGAGAATGATCTGGCAACGCGTGCCATGGCTGAGGAGGTTTAGTGTTTGCTGCCTCATCCTCTCACACCTCACCAGTTACTACTAAACGTGTCAAAGTGTGGTGAGACTAATTTAACACACCTGGATGTTTTTACTTCCAGTTGGATGTCGGTGCTGCAGAACAGTAAAGAGGAGGCCCTGAACACGGCGTTGGGAGGAGATCAGCTCCACCTCCAGGACAGCGGGCTGCAGGAACTCTCCCAATCAGTTATTGCAGAGCTTCGACACATGCCAGGCAACGAGGCGTGTGCAGACTGTGGAGCTCCAGGTCTTGTTGTTATAATGAATGTAGAGAAAGAGAAAGGAGAGTTCACAGGCCTCACTTAAAAGATATTTTTTCTCATGTTTGTCTCAGACCCCACGTGGCTGTCCACCAACCTGGGCATCCTGACGTGCATCGAGTGCTCTGGGATCCACAGAGATCTGGGAGTCCACTACTCCAGGATTCAGTCCCTCACTCTGGATCTACTGAGCACCTCTGAGCTTTTGGTACTGACACCACCCATCATGGAAACTAAAACAGCTTTGGTCATGATTTACCTTCCGCTGACACGCCTCCATGTCTTTGCTGCCTCAGCTCGCCGTCAGCATCGGCAACACCCGGTTCAACGACATCATGGAGGCCGGCCTCCCGAATGACTCCGTCAAACCGCTGCCACAGAGTGACATGTGAGTAGCCGATCAGCCGTCAGTCCTGACTGTTTAAAATGATAATTAACTGTTTTATTCGTGTTTCCTTAACATCCAGGAATGCTAGGAAGGCATACATCGTGGCAAAGTATGCTGAGCGCCGTTACGTCCTGCGTAAAGAGGAGGCCAGTCCGTGTCGGCTATATGAGGCCGTGAGGAGCCGAGACCTGGTTTCGCTTCTGCAGCTTTACGCCGAGGGCGCAGACCTGGCTAAGCCGCTCACGCTCCCAGAGGGACAGGTAGAGAGGAACGCGGGCTTCCGCCGTGGTTTTTCTTTTTGGTTTCATCTAAATGTTTCAGATTGGAGTACACATTTACAAATTCAGCAAAGACAACCCGAGCACAAACAATTCAATTCAGTTATAGCGCCAAATCACAACGAGTCGTCTGAAGGCACTAAACCTTCCAGTTAAAGAAAATATCACAAACAAGTTAAATAAACGTGAATTTAAAACAATATAGAACATTATAAAATAAACAAGCACATTTTCGAACTTCACTGTGGAATCGTACGGAATATTTTACAATTAATAATGTGAAACATTTCAGATCTATAATATCAAAATATATTAGAAGGTTTTATATCTAAGGATCTGCCTCCTCTTTATCGTCATCGGTGTGAGTTTCATAAACTAGGCGTGGTTAGTTTCAGAGATCTGGGTGTAAACACCAGAGGAGACTGAGCTGCAGGAAGGCAGCTTTCCCGTTCTTCAGACGCACCGACCATGTCACAGGAAGTGTCTGATAACATGAAGAACGCTAAAAGATCTAAAAAATAAACACATCGTTCTTAGACCAAAAATAAAACCAGAACATCATCTAAAGCTCTGTAGACCTCACTGGGTTAAGGCTGAAGTGTCATTAGGTTTACCACCACGTTGTCCACATTTCCTTCTCTATTCTCTCCATTTCCCCTCCTCTGCAGCCTCTCTCCAACGCCTCTTCTTTCCTCTTTAATTATCCTTTAACCTTCCTGTCGGGCACTTCCTGATCCGCTCTAGCAGCGGGCCGAGTGTGATTTATTTTGTGTGTGTAGGAGAGTGTTTGTTTGTGTTGGTTGGCTTTGCCTTATTATTTCAGCTTTTGGGTCAGAGCTCACGTCTCCAGAGAACAAATGAAGACGGCTCATTGAGTCTTGAAGACACTCTCGGAGTGCTTTCACTTTTTAAAGACACGCTGCTAAAAGAGTCTTGATGCATGTGATGTGAAAGTAATTGGCCTCATTTGTTCCCGCTTTAAGGGCATCAAAGAGACGGCGCTCCACCTCGCCGTTCGTCTGGAGGAGAAAAGCTCCCTGGCGCTGGTGGATTTCCTCTGTCAGAACAGGTCAGACCACTAAAACCATACGTTCACTGCTTTTACTAGAAGTTTTGTGTTTAACACTGTGTGTGCACGGAGCAGCAACTGTCTGGAGAAGAAAACAGCAGATGGAAACACCGCTCTTCACTACAGCGTCCTTCATCACAAGCCTGAATCACTCAAGTTGCTGCTGAAGGCCAAAGCAGCCATTCACACTGGTATGTTTCACTCGTAATTCGTGTTTTTGGGACCTGGAATAGTCGGTAAAAATTTAAAAAACACATTTTTGTCTCCCGTAGTGAATTCAGGTGGAGAAACGGCTTTAGAACTGGCCAAGAAGCTTCAGCACACACAGTGCATCGAGCTGGTGAGACCCCACTTCCTGTTAGAGCTCTAAAGGTTTTACTCGGAGGTGATCTCGTACGAGGAATCCGGTTACAGCTTCACCAGAAACAAAACAACAAAACTTCCACAGCTGGACCTTAGAACGACTCCCCATCAGGCCCCAGCGTGCATCGTTTATAAACGGGTTTTATTTTCATACCGGCCATCTGCCTCGCTGAATAAGACCTGCCGAACGTTACATCCTGTTTTTGCAGGATGTTTTATAGAAACTGGGAATGTTGTTAATTTCAAAGGAAACGTGCATCTTCTTTCCTTACGAGCCCAAAGCCGAGTTCTTATCTTGAAATAAATGCTGAAAATGTTTAACGATGTCATTTCTAGTTGGAGCTGGCTCACAGTGGCAAGTTTAACTCCCAGATCCATGTGGAGTTCATGTGGGAGACCCAGTGTCAGGAGTTTTATGACAGTGAGGATGACCTGGATGAGAAGGTAAAGAACACACACACACACCTTTGGGTGTTTTGAACAGCCAAAATAACTCTTTATTTCATCTCCAGGTCAGCCCGTTACCCAAGAGCCGATCTCTTTCATCATCAAACGAAGGAGGCGGATCAGCCTTCACTCTGTGGAACCTCAGCACCAGTTCCAGTTCCAGGCCTTGTCAGGCATATGAGAACCTGGATTTCCTGTATAAAAATTCTCCAGCCAATAGCGCCCTCTCTGGAGCATTAGCGCCACCGCCGCTGCCAGCTAAATCAATCCAAAGAGGTAGACAAGTTTTACTTAAACTTCTTTTTATTTTATTTTTGATCTCCCAACATAAACGGCTTTGTTCTCCTGGCCTCCTCAGGCCGCTCAGACCCTCAGATTTCAGCCGCAGCACACCTACGACGGCGCAGCTCCAACCCAGCCGCCCACACCGGTCCTCAGACTCAAACCAAACTTAGTTCACCTAATTCGGAGAATCCAGGCCAAATGAGACCCCCGAGGTCTTCACTGGGACAAACGAATCTCCAGAAGACCCAGAGGCAGACTTGGGATGGCCAGCTTGGTGCTAGTTCCGGGTCACAAAGCTCTCCTTCACTAGTATCCCCTCAGAATCACGTGGGACCAATCAGGTGAGCATGAAAATGCTAATCATGTAAAATAACTCTTTAATGTTTTTCATTGTTTTGATCTGTAAGAATTCTCATCATTCCTGTTTCCAGCTCCGGGAAGACCACATCTTATCGTCGCACCGGCAACACGGGCAGCAGCCAGGGAAAGAGCGTGGGCAGCCAGGAGGAGCTGTACTGCAGCCTAACGGGAAACGGCGCCGGTTCCTCCGCTCCGACTCCAGCTCCTTCCTCCTCTCCCACCGTCACCGGCCCCCCACGCTCCCGCAAGAATGCAATGGTACCGCCACACTTTTAGCTGCAGTCTTTAGCAGGAAAAAGAAAAAACCTCGTCCAGAGGGATTACACAGGCGATGCGACTGCTGATGGAACAGTGAGAATCAGATTCCATGTCTCCTCAGGTGTCTGGCAGCCGGCCACAGAAGCGTGTCAAAGCTCTGGTGGACTGCCGAGCTGTCAGCTCCGAGCAGCTGGCGTTTTTTAAAGATGAAGTCATCGTGGTCACGGCCACTAATGACCCCTACTGGTGGGTAAGTGGAACTACACGATAATTTCCCCATGCACTTCTAACAAATTCTGGATGGAATCATACATTCTCACGGACGGTTCCTGTGTGTTTTTATCTCTACAGGTCGGGCACATCGACGGAGACCCATCGAGGAGTGGGACCTTTCCTGTCAACTACGTACACAAACTAACAGACTGACGACCATGTCCTTCTGATCGGCTGAACTTTACCACCAAGTGGGACTTATCAGCAGGAAAAGGCTCATAACCGTGGATCTAAGTGTTTTTTTCATGAGGATACCTTTTCCAAAGAGTATATTACTCTTTAATCATTGACTCACCCTGGGAAGTCACGAGGAAACGGAACGCTGTTTACTGTTGTCATGATCCTCCAGCTGCAGCAGAACTGAGCAGAGACAAAGCATTGTGGGTAATCTGCTCTAATGTTTACTTGCATTGCAGCTGTTGACTGTTCTGGGTAGGATTTGTACACAGAGACTGAACTCCTGCAGGGCGAAACCTTTTAAGGCACTTTAAATTCAGAGGAAGCCTCTGAAGCGTTAGCACAGCCAGCTGTGGCTAATTTTACTATTTTAAATCACAACATAAGAAGACTTGTGGTTCAAATCCGGAACAGTGTCTGCCTGGGATGTCCCATCTCGCGTGTCTTCAACCATACCACCAGACGGCAGCAGCCCAAAGAGAAAAGTGAAACCAGCTGACCGCAGACGGACTGCAGGATCCAGTTTCTACCGGCTCCAGGCATTGGCCTCTAGGGGGATCTGGAGCAGCCATGATGGGATGGAGGAGAAAAATAGACTTTCTCTCCTAGCAGCAATAGAGGAGCTTCAGGATTCAGGATGGGAGGCGTCACTACTCTTGTTTTTAAACGTGAACGTTACACATTTCATTCACATTACAATTAGCTTTATTTGTTCATACGTGATATGTACACATGTATAATTTAGCATTTTACAGGGCAGTGTTACTCATTTTGCCACGTTTAAGTTTTCTGAACTATAAAAGGGAAGATTCAGTATTTTAAACACTCTGCTGCATAACAACTGGACTTGTTGTATTGTACAGGTTTAAAGGAAACGGCGAGGAGCGTATCGGTCACTTACTTTTTGATACTGACTGGTTACAGTGTTGATTATGGGTTAGCAGATGTGTGATGTGTAAATAACTAATTAGCTGGTTTTACTGAGTGCATTTGTAACATAAACTATACATGTTTCATTATGCACCAGTCATGTATTTCTGGTCCTGCCAACAAAAAAAAAAAACACATTTAGATTAAACACAATGAAGGTACATAGGGCTCAATGGTGAATGGCTTGTATTTGTATGGTGCCTTCTTAGGGTTTTACAACCCCCCAGTCATCCACCCATTCACACGCTGGAGGGGATGAGCTATGGTGTGGCTGCAGCTGCCCTGGAGGCGTGGCCAGGCGCCACCGGCCCCTCCGACCACCACCAGCAGGCAAGGCGGGTTGAGTGTCTTAATTAAGGACACAACAGCAGCATTCTCTGGTCGGAGCCGGGTTTGAACCTGCAACCTTCCGATTACTGGACAACCCGCTCTGCCTCCTGAGCTACTGCTGTCTCAAGTACAATTACATTCCAGTTTGACTTATTTTTTAGAATCAGTGTTCCTAAAACATTTTAGTTTATTTATTTAGAGCCATAAGTGTTGAGCATCATCCCTGTTTTTATTTTTATTTTCATAAGTATTTCTTAAAATGTCAGGATCAAAGGGTTAGTTTCAGTCCTACTTTTTGCACATTTTTGTTAGTAATGAAATATTAGAATCAAGCCTAAAAATTTTGAAATCTACATAAAGCTAATTAATGTCAAAATATCCTAAAGTCTTCTAATTCACCCCTTTCAATATAAATCATTAATATATTTGGATTTTTAACTCTAATCAATTATATAAAATGCATTTTTTTATACTTTAATCTTCATTTAAACTTTATTTTTGCTTCTTTTGCCCGTATTTATTTCCTACCAACCTAAGCTGAGTCCCATCCAGACGTCACCTTTAGCAGGTATTTCCTCCGCCGCCTCATTTGGACTTCCACTTTCCCCTGACCCTCCATCCCATAGTGGGAACGATAAAATTCCAACCTGTCACTTGCATAACCAGCCAGCTGCCACAGGGAGACCCAGTCCTCTGATAAATACATATGAACACACATCTCTCCCATTAAAAGCATTCATGCATTCACCAAAGCCTGGACCATTTCAGGTTTATTCATGCAAACGCATCTGCACATCTGGTGGAACATTAGAGCAATCCATTAAGATGGAGACTGAAGTCTGAGTTTATGTTATTCTGATTTATCTCTACTAATCATATAAGTAGGTATATTCTTTTTCTAGTCAGGGAAACGGAGATCTGTTTGTGGAAAATCAATCTGATGCTTTTTATGACCATCAGCTTACCGTAACTTTCAGAATTCAAGCACTTAAAACGTTCCTGTTAATTCTGCCCCTAAATGCAGCCGAGAAGGAGCTCCTGCTAAATCTGATGAGCTTTTTCACGCCGTTCCTTTTGGCCCAGAGCATCTGGTTATGTCACAGAGCTCGTTTCTGCTGACGCCTGCTGGAAAGGTGACCCAGATCTTGCCTTTGACGCTGCTGTGAAGATGTGAAAGTTAGCACTTTGTGTTTGCGGTGTGTAAAAGAAAATCTCTGCAATATTCAAGTCATTTAGTGAATTTATTCTAATAGGTCACAGAGAAAAAGATTCTTACAAAGTGAGGAATAGTCTGAAAGCAGATTTTACGACATTTTTGTTTTACAGGTTTCAACTTTGTGCAGAATCATAGAAACTAAGCATAAAATGGCAGAACATTCCTCAAAAACATGGCCGCCACATCAGGTATATAAGGGAGACTGAGTTGTGTCACGAAAAGATGTTGCTTCAAGTATAAAAGTGAGCCTTAAAGCAGAAATCCAGAGTTTTCCTTCCTTTTCAGGAATTAGCCGCCCCCATTCTTTAAGGCCCCATGCAATTTCACTTGAGAGCCGCTCAGCATTAGTTAATAGCAATTGTCATCTGCTAACATACAGATGTTAACGTCACATCGCCCACAAAATAAGGATATTTTCTACGGTTTGGCTTTCATCCACACCAAAGTGGAGTTATGCAAATTCTCCGTTGTCTGCATCTGCTTGTGGGCAAATACAACCATGGTTTAGGTTTTGCATGCGCCACCTGTGTGTACACTCACTTTCTTGTTTTTACTAGCTTTATAGCTGCTCTAGAAGACAACAGGCGAGGGACGATGTTAAGGAGGGTTTTGCCCGCCAGGTCCAAGGAATGTTTTTAGGTGAAGACGCCAAATATTTGGGGAACAGGCTTGGCATGAATGTGCTTCATAATGAGCAGGATTTTTCACTGAAAACAGGGTGGCGTAGACACAAGTTTTTCTTTCCCCATAAGATATTTGGTTTCATAAAAACCCAGCTACGTGTGCACATGACATAAGATAGCCGGCTAAGGAAGCCTAGGACTATTAGATACCTGATGTGTGCGACGATGAAGACATTAACAAACACGACACCATAAAACAAGATTTCAGAAAAGTGTTTTTGTGCCTGTGACTAGTCAGCATTTGTGACAATAAAGGGCTGCGAGAACAACACTTTTCACTTTGCTAAATCAGTTAAATGATCCTTGCTTGCGTGTCCCCCTGGAGGCATAAAATAAAGAAATTCAAGTGAATTTAATGCCAACCACAAGTTCAAACAGGATTTATCTGATTGTATTAGTCAGTGATCAGGAAATTTAAAACAAAAAAACATTCAGCATTACATTCATTCTGCAAGTGAGCCCAGAGATCTTTGGGAAATATTGACTATTTTTTGTTTTTATGTCATTCATAGAAGAACAGCTGCAGTCCCACTGGATTAAGTGTTTTTTTTTCTGCTCAGGAGAAAAATAATTCTCTTAATGCCAATCCACAGATCCTGAATTACACCCGCTGTAAGAGCTGGTGCAAGCACTGGCTCGCGATACGAAAGACCCCAAAATACTTCCATATCACCTTAGCAGACTTTTGTTTGGTATGTATATGTGCACAAAGACAGTAGGCAGAATAAGTCAGCATTCACAGAGAAAAGTTCACGGCTTCAGTAGCTCATAAAACTTTAAAACTGCAACATTTTAAGTGATTAAATTAAAGAGGCACTCTTAATGATGCTCTTTAAAAATCTCTTCCTAAGCAGCTTTAACGAACTATATTTAAGCCCTTAAAGTCTAAATTAGAAAATAAGCAACCCCAAGTCTTACAACCTACACTTTTAAACTCATGCACTTTAAGTATTTTACATGCATTCACTTTTTTTACTCTCACATCGACTTAAAAGGAAACTCATCCTATTTCTGTGCATGTGAGCTGAAATCTTAAATGATGTGCTTTTTCTTTAAATGGTTTCAAAAAGGCAGCATCAGGAAATCCCTGATTATCCTCTCCAATAGTTGCGCTACATTTTAGAAAAATGCTGCAGCTAAAGTGAATCTCTGCCTCGCTACTGTAACCTTGAAATGTCCTAAACAGATATGTTTCCTTGTGCATCACCTGTGCATTCAGGGTACGCCAAATGCAGCTGGAGAGACAGAGTGGTGGAAGAGATGCCTCAATTCCACCATGGAAAGTAGGAATTATGGTGGAAAACGATAGAAAAGTAGACAATCTACTTGTAGAAAAGTAGACAATCTACTTGTGCACAAAATATAAATATTTGATTAGCAGCCAATGTCTCACAATAAAATAAACATGAGCTTGTCTAAATGCTCAGAAACTCTTAATAAAACAGATTAAGTGTCCTTACACTGACACATTGTGCACACTAAATCCTGTCTGCATTCTAAAAAGCAAATTTGCAACTCTTCAGTGCTTTTTCCAGTAATATAAGACACAAAAAGTTGTGATTTTTAAAATCCTGAATTCTGATACATGCATGATTTCACTCAATCATAAAATAAATTATTCTAAACCTAAAACACTCCACGGTTGTCACATAATGTTGCAGCAATCAGCTGGATACATTCTGTATGTTGGATGGAGTGATGAACGGTTGCTAGGTGACTGGATAAAAAGAGGCCACAGGTGGAGTCATCCCCAGCATGAATGTCTTGTTTTTCTTTGCTTGTGCTGCCAAACCCAGATGCCAAGGTGGGCGGGTGGTGGTGGGGGGTGGGGGGGAGTGATGGGTCACATAAGCCAAGGCACATTTTCTAACGAAGGTCTAAAATGACATTTTCTGTTTCTGCTTCCTTGGCTTTTATAGAACAGTACAGATCTATACAAAGATGCTGCCCTTCACGCCGTGCTTTTGTTCATCTTTAATTCTCTTTACCTTCTTTCAAAGACATTATATAAGTTAGCTAAAGCAGAGAAAAGCTTTCAGGCCAGTCTGAGCCTCTCCTCCCACATCACCTGACTCATCGTGGCTTTCGTCTGAATCCTTCATAAAGCAAGCGGACTAACTACAAGCAGCAAAGATCTGTAAGAACATCGTGGACACAATGATATCCGTTGTACCGGTGCTAGCTTGATTGGTTTCCTAGCCAGAGAATTTCCTCTGAAAAACACTGAGCAGGAAGCTCCTTACTAGCCTCTGTGATATTTGTAGGCACTCTAAACCCCTTGAGGACCAGCCTCGGGATGCAAGAGCAGTACAGTTGAAGCTGGAGAGCAGCCATGTCGCTGAGAGTTAGCTAAACAAAGGTGGTCGATACTTCCAGCTCTGTAAAGCACATTTCTAACCATTTGAGACCAAATGCAACGGTTGAAGTCTTATTTGAGTTTCACGGGCCAGGGAAGGCATGTGCGGAGCCCGAGCATTGAAGAAAAGACAATGGTGGGTCGATGTTTCTTGAACTTCATGCCTTTCTTCACCCGTTGGGTGTTCTCCGCTATGTACAACTCACCCTGCTGGGCTGAGGTGGATATTCTCGATACCAGCTCCCCGTGGACCACCACCTGCTGCTCCGAGCGCACGAACATCTCCCTAAGCTCCTCCAGTCGCTGTTCCATCTCTCTGACGACACGCTGCCGCTCTTCCACCTCTAGGAGGCGGCGCCGTGCTGCCTCGAACTCCATGCTGGAGCTCGGGGTGACCAATTTGGAGGAGGGGGCTGTGGCAGACCTGGATGTGGGTTCAGAGCCAGCTAGCAGAGCCCCTGTCACCCTCCGGAAGTCTCCCATAGAAATGGAGCGTCTGGTGGCGGGAGACGCAAGCGCCAGGAGAGTGGAGGCAGAAGTAGAAGTCGGCATAGCTGATAGGGGAAGAGCCAAGGAAGAGGACGACTGGGATGATGATTCCGGTGGATGGAGATCTGGATGCGAGTCCATACCTTTAAGGGGTACTGCTGTGTCTTCGGCCGTGTCCTCAGCCGTGTCCTCATCGCTGGTTTCGGTGATACTTTGCTGTCTCTTCATGGCCAGGACTTGACTTTTCCTGCATTCCTTATTGTTTTTTCTCTTCTCCATCGTGCCGTGTCAGATGAAAGAGGAGCCGAGCAGAGAGAACAGAGACGTGCAGAGCTGCAGCACGGGAACAGCTCCATTCACTAACAAGACATCCGAGCTGGGATTGTGCAGTCTCTGCATCTCACTGTTTGTGCTGGGGAGGGTGCGTCCTGGTGTTTCATTGGCTGTTGCACTCTTGAGCATGTCAGCTGATGATTGGGCAGCTTTTCCACCGTGCTGCTGATGTTGGCAAGCTGTAGTGTCCTCCACTCGAATGCTTGGTTGTCATCCTCTGCAGCTCTGCTTTGATCAGCGTTTGAAAGACGCTCAGGTTTCACTTCAGTCTTTCTGACACCAACTCACTTTCTTTATGTCCTCGCTGCCTTTCTGTTGCCATCCACACCAGCTGGTCCCTTCATTTTCTTCTTTCACTGGGCGGATGGTTGCCCATAGCAACACAGCCTTCACATCAAATGACAATAAGCAGAAGGGAGGGGTGATGCTCTACTTTATCTCTTCGTTAATCACTCTGCTGCTCAACGCTACACCACCCTGTCCTGCTACTCTGGTTTCACATGCCCCAGCTTTCATTTCATTTGATGGGTCAGACGTTTTCTTAAAATTATCTAGCTATTTAAATCTGACCTCCAAAATTCTCCAAATATTCTACAATTAATGGAGAAAATACTTTCCAGAGTTCTTTTCAAATTGAGAAAACAAAAGACACCTTGAAATGTACTTGTTTATCTTTTTCCTAGAAGTTTCCTTGCTACAGTCGGAGGATGTTGAGATGGAAATAAACTCATCTGCTGTAAAATTAACTGCACTCCATATGTAGAACATCACACAAACATGGTGGTGGTAGTGTGATGGTCTGGGGTAGCTTTGCTGCATTAGGAATGAGGTGACTTGATGAGATTGATGGAACCAATAATTCTGCTTTCTAGAAAACAATCCTGAAGGGGAATATCCTGGAAAACTGTATTTTTGACTTTAAACATCATCTAATTTAATGTGTAGCTCATTAGCCAGAGCAGGTGAACATCTCCACTGAAAACAAAGCAGACAAAAATGATTTTTAGATTTAAAACAGGACAAAAATCCCATGCTTACTTCCATTTCATCCATTAGATATGTTGATTGTCCACTAATGTGCTATAGGGATTAAAAACCTTCGGTCATTAATGCTTCTTTCTACAAACCGAAACAAAATCTTGCCCATTTAATCTTTTTTCTTTATGCAACATCGAGCATTAACCTAAAACAGCTTTCTCTTCGGCACTCATCAGTTACATCATCATGATTTAGGATCTTTTTTCTTGCTTCAACAATCCATCTTATCTGTGTAGACAGAAGTGATGTAACTAAAGGTGAAACAGAGACACACACAACATCTGAAGCCATGAAGGGTTGAATAGATGTCCTCGTTTAGAGCAAAGAGAAACAGACGGAGATTTTAGCGGGCCAGAGGTGGTGCTGTGCATGTGTGTGATGTGTCTGCGTACATATCTGAGTATTCACTTAGGGCTTCGCTTTTATCTCAGGACTTGAGCTGCATTAGCCATAGTTTCCTGCTTTTAGCTTCACGGATCACTGGAGCGTAGCAGAAAATAGCCCAGGTAGGTTGGTCATGGAGGAGACAGAAAACTTTCTTTTTCTGGAGATCATGATCAAAAACACCAAAAGAAAAGTCACTTTTAGAAAAGAAATAAATAAAAATACATTTTCTTAAATATGCTTCATGTGCAGCTCCAATGTTTTTAGGATTAGAAACCAAGATATTTCAGATCTTTTCTTGTCTACTGCGGCGTTAGGCCCGGCTACTTGGGCTCAAGCCCCAAATCTTTAATGAAAAGCCCCAGATCTCAAACGTGGAAGTAACATGCAGTACCAAAGTCCAACACAGAGGGAGCAGCTAGCAGTAGTTTGTCTACAGCCTGCCTGAGCCTCCACCACTGAAGAAGAAGCCCTTCAGCAGCCGGCTTCTTCTGCAGTCTCTGCCTGAAACGCATATATTAATGTCGATGGTGAAGATGGACATAAGGACGTTTTTTAGACAAAAAGTACCGCAACAGAACCCCAGCTTTGATGAGACTGGTGTTGACTCAGGTTTGTGAGTCTTATTTGAAAATATTTGTTGTGGTGCTGGTTTGCCTAAAGTTAGCTTACTATCAGGTAAAGTTGATGGAGAAAGAAAGGGAATATTTACTATCATCTCACACTAAACACTAACAGAACAATACTCTGCCCTGAATATGCTTAATATGTAGCTTCAGATTAAAAATTTTGTGGTACAAGACAAATATATATGATGTTGACTAGTGCGTGTCACGTGTGTGTGTGCGCACGCGCGTGTGTGTGTGTGTGTGTGTGTGTGTTAAGCCCCGGATCTTCTTCAGTCCTTAATCCGCCCCTGCTGCTCCTAATTTTAGAAAACTAAAAAACGTTCTAAAACAGTCAGGAAAATATATTCTAATTAGACTCATTGAAAAATATGAATCTGATTAATTAGAGCATCATAATGAATTAATCTAAATTAATCGCATTTTAATCGTTCAAGAAAATTTGCTCCAAAAGTATTTTTTTCATTAAAAATAATGAGGCAGAAATTCAAACAATGTCATGGACATTATAATTGTAAACTTAAGCTCTTTTAAATTCCCCAAAATTATTTAAAACTGTATTTCCATAGAAACAGGAAATTAAAGTTGTTTTGGACTGCTGCTGCGTGTCGTGTAAAAAATATTCCAGAAGATACACGCAGCTTTCTATCTCCATTACCAATTGGTCAGTTCAGATGATTGACACCTCTTTTGGATCTTTATGGCCAATAGGATGAAGCGTTACTCACCAAAATTAGATTAACAGCTCAGTCAGTCAGATCAGATGGGCCCTTGGTCTCAAAGGGTTAAACACGTTGAGTTTTATTAACACATTATATTTTTCTAATTAATTATTTATAATTAACTTGCTAAATTCCCATCCCTAATTATAAAACACAAAATTTAAACAAAAATATTCACTTTTCCCCCAACAGTTTCAGGCACTAGCAAAAAGTTACACCCACCCTAATTCTATTGACCGTTAGTAAAGTAATTGGATCCAAATCCTTCCTACATACAATTATCCCTGACCCCATTACAACAAATCTCTCCTCCGCACTGTTATAATCAAAACTGTCATTGAAGCTTGGGCTCAAATCTCCCCAAACCAAACCCTCTGCTTCAGTTTAATCTGTGTCCTGTTTGCATTTTTAGTCCACACGTGTAGAGAACGTTATCTGGGGTTAGCATATTTGCTCTCAGCTGTTCGTCTTTGGTAACAAAGATGTGTGCAGCAGGGTCCTTGCACTCAGCTTGTTGCATGATCTGTCTAGTTGCGTAAGTGAAGGAGCTACAGAGGTGAGGGACAAGTAGAAGCCTTCAGCTCTTGCACCCAAATCAGCCGTTTTAAAACAACTGGACTGCAATAATAGGGAGAAAGGTATTAACAATAAAAGACATCTGTCCACACCTTCAAATAGTCAGACTCCAACTTCCACCAAGACCAGAAAGCTGTCTCAAGACACCAGGGACAAGACTGGGATGAGCCAGTCAACAATAGGAGAGCAGCTTGGTAAGAAGAGATCAACTGTTGGAGCAATTTTTAGAAAATGGAATAAATACAAGATCACTGACAAGCTCCCTTGACCTGGGGCTCCACGCAAGACCCCTCCTCGTGGGTACAAATGATCAAGCACCCGGTAAGGAAACAGCCCACACCGGGAAAACTGGTCAAAGATAACAAAGATTACTATTGGTAACACATCCTACAGCGCTTTCAAGGTCCCCCTGCTTAAGCTAGCTTTCCACCTTGCAGGGGGAGACAAGCTGGCTGCTTAAGTACATTTTATTTATATAGCACTTATCACAGACATCACAAAGTGCTTCACATAGATCAAAACAAAATAAAACAAAGTCATAAAGTGCAGGCTCAACTTTAGAAAAGCTTTAAATAAAGGAAATGGAACAAGAATGAAACTCTGAATCTTCTACTGAGACAAAAGATGGAGCTGCTTTTCCACCGTTCTCTAATCAATAAGTTTTGTCTTTCAGCTGCTGCAGCCTGAGTCATTCTGTGCATGTGCAAGTAGGTGTGTGTGCAAGTTCTTCACTGCAGTGTGAATTCTGTGTAAAATGATGTCAAAGATCCTGCTGGTGGTAAAATATCAGAGTGTGTGTTTGTGTGAAATGAAGGCACATCTCAGACATGCTGTATAAATATGTGAGATGCAGTCACAAGAAGGTCGGATATGTAGGAGGGTGGTGGTAAGCAGGTGGAGATGATGAGAGGAGAAGGTGCTGCAGATGAGGAGAGAGATGTTGTTAGATGTCAGGCTGGACGGATGACCTAAAATGCATAAAGCTGTGAATTTAAGGATTCTTGTATAATTCAGGTCAGGAGGCAAATAAATGCAACTTTACATTTAAATAAATGTTTTTTTTTTGTTTTGAAAGATGTCCTAACAGGATCCTGGATTTACAAACATAAGAGCCTGAGTTTGAGCATACAGACATTTGCACTTTGTCTCCCTCTAGTGTTTCTTTATGGAGACATTAGGAAAACATTAATTTTGTAAAGCAAACTGCTTTACAATTTATTGATTATTCATCTGAGGATTTTCAGCGTAGTAAATATAAAAAAAGAGAACTGATGTGATTAAACGATTAAAAATAGTCGCAAAATTATGAAAAATTTGAATAAAATAAAACTGATGATTTATTTGTATCATTGTTTCCTGTCTCTTTGTGCACGATTGCAAAAATCAGATTTTTTTTAAATCCGAGAGACAATAAACTGAGCAGAAAAGAAAGTTTAAACATCCACTTCTCTTCAGATTTGCCTGCAGCGACACCAAAATGTCCACACTAAGTGCCGCTAAAGGGATTTAGCCTGTTCTAGGTGAATTATGAGCTTTTTCTTTTATAGGAATAAGAAAACAACAGGACACTTGATCATAGCAACTCAATCTTTAATATCATAAGATATAAAAATCTTCATCTTTATCATACAATAACATCTTACCATAATACCATCAGTCAAAAGACCACCAAACAAGAAATATATCAGAACTTTGATCCCTTTAGAGGTAAGAAAGCTGGCTAACAGATTATTCAGCCTTACAGGTCCTTCCTTCTTTCATTCTCAATCCCGTTTTCTACTCCAGACATGCTTCCTCACATGTAGGCACCGAGCTGAAAGCAGGACCTACCCATCTGTGGGAATCGGTTTGAGACACACTTCTTCAGAACATCTCAAAATCAAGGTCTGTCGAGTGTAGAAAAAAAAAAGGTGAATTCCAAACTCAGGAATTGCATAAAAAGGGAAATTCCACAATGAGGGAAGAAGAAGAGACCTGCAAGGCAACAAGTCCACAGATCAGCTCAGCGTGTCTTTTACCATTTTAAATCCCCACTTTCTTGAGATGAAAAACCAAACAACAAAAGCTGAAAACACAAGAAACAGCCTTGAAAATACATCTTTCAGAAAAAAAAGTCATTTAGCAAACTGCAACATGCCACATTGTTCCTCGGGCAGGTTTTCTTTCACGGAAAGCCACCTACTTTACTAGTTTTGTAGTCATAAAAATAGTCAACATTTCAAATGTTTGCAAACAGATTTACGAAGCTGAGAAAAGGGAGAGCAGAAAAAACGAGGAAGCCACATGACATCATTACGTCACCAGACCATGCACGGCTCTGCAGCATCCCGCAAGACAACAAACATAAACTGCAAGTCATGCAACTGACACACACAAACTCACACACTCGCACACAATCGCACTGTAAAAGCAAATACTCGTGTATTTTTCTTCCTCCCCAGAATCCACCTCATCTGGTTTGGTTGTACCAAAACCAACAAGGCGTTTGTGGAAAGAGGTTTTATATTTTTATGAAATTATGCTCTTTGAAAAACATTGAACAGCAGCTGAACAGTTTGTGTGTGTGTGTGTGTGTGTGTGTGTGTGTGTGTGTGTGTGTGTGTGTGTGTGTGTGTGTGTGTGTGTGTGTGTGTGTGAGTGTGTGTTGTTGGTGCAGATTGATTTGGCAGCGCATTTAGAAACATAAAGCTCATCAACTCTGCAAAAAAAACCCCCCAAAAAAAACAAACAAAAAAAAGAAAATCAGACAGACGGACAACGGAACAGGCAGACGGACAAGCGTGCAGCGAGGATCAACTACAGCAACGATCCAGAGAGAAAACGTTCATGTCACCATCAAAAACAGTTGCAGGTTCATGCAATCACTCGCTCACATGTCGCTCATCCACACGGCAGTAAGACATCCCCCCTCCCCCCTCGTCTTGCTGCTCGGATCACATCGGCCCACACACAGATAGCAAGTGCAGGACCACTGTTTGTGTTCCTTGGCTGTTTTTTAAATCTTTTTTTTTATACATATATTCTTTTCATTTGGAGGCTGGACGCAACGTCCCAAAGCAAAGCCGCGTGGTGCTGGTGAGCCCCCGGTGACCTGATCAGCTGTTGAGTCTCTACAGGGAGGTGGACGGCAGCTTCTTGACACGCCTCTGGGCGAGGAAGGAGCTCTCGATGGGCTTGAGCTCTGGAGGGGGTTGGGAGTTCTTCAGGGCGGAGTAGGTGGCGGCCATCGCACCCTGAATGTAAACAATAACAAGAGGTTGTTTTTTTTTACTCTATTTCATTCAAAATTTATGAAATAAACACAAGCAAATGCAATACATAAACATAATGAAAAAAAAACATTTGAATGAAAAGGAGCAGATAGAAGAAAAATCTTATCATTTCTGCCCCTTTTTACAAAAGAAAATTATCTGTAAAACACACAATACAGCCTCAGTCCCTTTCTACTTTTTATATATAATCATTGACATTTTAATTTACCTTTTCACAATTGCTTAATACATTTGATTTTATGCATTTTTTGAATATAGCAAGTGAGTTTGAATCTTTAATATCTCTGTTAAGGGCATTCCACAATCTTACACCATTTACAGAAATATCACATTCCTTCATTTTGGTTCTGAATTTAGTTTTTTTTAGACATCAGTCCCTTTTAATATGTACCCACTTACTCTCCTATGAAACATTTTCTGAATATTAGTTGGTAAATTACTCGTATTCGCTCTGTACATTATTTGCAATATTTTCCACTCTACCAAGTCAGGAAATTTCAGTATTTAATATCTAATGAATAATGAATTTGAGTGATCTCTGTAGTTACTGTTATTAATGATCCTCAATGCTCTTTTTTGTAAAATAAACAAAGGTTGAGTAAAAGTTTTGCATGTGGCTCCCCAAATATCCAAACAATAAATTAAATATGTTTCAATCAGCGAGTGATACAACATTAATAACACAGACCAATTTAGCAGAAATGTGACTCTATATAATACCGCTATGGCTTTGGCAACTTTCCCCTTTATATAACTTATGTGATTTCCAAGTGAGACACTCATCAAACATGACTCCAAGAAATTTGGTTTCTTTTACTCTTTGAATTTCCATTCCATCTATCGTTAAAGATACATCACAGTTTCTTTTGTTGTTAAACAGTATAGTTTGTTTTGTTCAGGTTCAATGACAGTCTATTTATATGAAACCATTTTTTTTACTTTAATCAGTTCACTGTTTATTACTTGAGTTACTTCATGTATATTTAATCCTGAATAAAACTGGACCAAGTAGATGAGATACATTTATAAGGTCATTAATAAACAATATGAACAGTTTAGGTCCGAGGACCGACCCTTGTGGCACTCCATAATGAATATCTTTCAATTCAGATCTGGCATCATTTATTTGAACAAACTGTTTCCTATTGTCTAAATAACTATTAACCCATTGATGAGCCACACTTCTTATTCCAGAGTTCTGATCAAAACTGAAGGAGCTCTACTGATCTGTAGTGTTTTAGAGGACTGAGGTAATTTATGGGAACTAGTGGCATCACTTACTCTCCATCCAATCCATTTTAACTAAGGTTTTACATACACGCGCACGCGCGCGCGCACACACACACACACACACACACACACACACACACACACACACACACACACACACACACACACACACACACACACACACGAAAACGAGATGGAAAAAATATTGGTTGCTGATTGCGGCCCAGTTTTGCATATCAGACTGATACTTGTATGTTAAAACAGGACTAACATCGGCCAATACCGATTGATGCCAATATATCGTGCATCCCTAATGTTGCCGGAACCATTTGAATTAAATTGAAATGTTAAAAAAATGTAACTCGTCCCGTGTTATTGCTCACATGCTTAGTGGTCACTTTTGTGAACAGCTGGGTATATATGTGGGTGTTGGTGGTTGACTTTATATAAGCAACAGTTTAGGACTCTAATGTGACAAGGCCACCCACTGACGGTGTGTGGAGTGGTAATACTGATGATTAAAATAAATAGTAAAAGTAATAATAATATTAAATTAACCAGTGTTTTATTAAAGAAAGTATTTCATTTTTCTTCATTGTTTAGGCTGACTTATGAGCAAAGTTTGGAAAAACAAACAAATTAGCACAAAAGGAACACATTTAAATGGCATTATGCCCTCCTGTGGCCACAATAAATATGACAAAAAAAAATTAGAAATTGAGATTTCCACACTGCAAAAACCGATTTTTAAAAAGGCTTGTTATTAGACATGGTATCTTTATTTTCTGCAAAACAACACTACTTAAAGTAAATATTCTCAAATTTGATCCACATTTTCTTGTTGAGTAAAAAGATCTCATAGTGAGGTAAGCAAAATGAAATTGAACATTAGGTTATTATTCTAGTTTTAAGAATTAAAGCCAAGTTACTTTTGCTTACCTCAAAGGCAGATTTCTTTTACTGAAAACCAGAAAATTTGGATCATATTTAAGAATATTTACCTTATTTTAAGTCGTATTGATTTGCAGATTTGTTTTCTTTTTATGACTAAACATTAGACAACATGTCTAAAAACAAGCTTTTTTCAAACTTTCTTGAAAAATCCTTTTTGCAGAGCAATTATGTTTCTTTCCCCTCTGGGAGGAAAGAAAAAAATGTGCAGAGTTGCGTTACCTTGACCAGTTTGGGGTCCTGGTGTGGGAGCTGGCTGTTGGGCAACTTGTCTCTGTGAACGATCCAGGGGTGTTTGAGGACCTGCCTGGCTGTCAGTCTCTGATGGGGGTCCACATGAAGCATCTTGGACACAAGATCCTAGAAAGCGCCGAAAATGTTAGTTTTTTTTGCAAGAAAGAGACCAAAAACATCCCCAAAAGAGCATTTTTACCTTTGCAGCATCAGAAACGGTGTCCCAGTTGCCTCCATTCAGACTGAAGTGACCATTTCCTATCCTGTTCAGGATCTCATTCGGAGTGTCTTCAGGTCCGTTAGCAAACGGAGTAAAGCTGGTGAAAGGAAAGTAGAAAGAAGAGTCAATACAGAAAGAAAAATTAGTAAAATTAGGTAAAACAAAACCATCTGAGTTATTTACCCAGCCAACATGGTGTAGAGTAAAACTCCCAGGCTCCAGATGTCGCATCCTTCATCGTAACCCTGACGCTTCAACACCTACCAGCAGAAATGATCAGGTGTTAAAATGGCACGCCTGATAAAGGTTCAGTCAAATCTGATCCCTAGAAGAGCTACACGACTCGCCTCAGGAGCCACAAAGTTGGCGGTATAGCACGGTGTCATCAGCAGCCCGTTGTTGGCACGCAGCTGCTTAGCAAAGCCGAAGTCACAGATCCGGATCGACTCGGGATTCCCAGATTCGTCCACGTAAAGGATGTTGCTGGGTTTAAGGTCTCTGTGCACAACCTGGAAAACAGCAGGATGTAACCAGAGCTGTCTGTTCCTGGATGATGTTGTACGTCAAACAGTATAGAGATGGCGAAGAGGAAGCTGGATGCTGAGAAGACCCCTCACCCCCTGAGAGTGGAGGTACTCCACGGTCTTGGTGATGGTGTGCAGCACAGCGCTGGCTTCGAGCTCTGAAAAAGACTTCTGCTTGAGAATCCGATCCAGTAATTCACCTCCACGCATAAGCTCCGTCACCAGGAACACCTGCTTCCCGTTGTCGTACACCTGGGACACCCACGAACAAAACGCTTTACCGATTCTGAGGGGTTTCCGCTCCTCCGGAATCAAACAGGTGATTCAGACTCACGTCCTTCAGCGTGATGATGTTGGGATGTTGTCCGTATCGGAGCAGAATCTCAATCTCTTCAGACGGATCTGTGCTGGTCTTGTCAATCACCTGTCACATAAAAATAAATAAATAAAAATAATAAACAATCACAGGATCTTTACACTTTCAAAATAAAAGCTCTGTCTTAAAACAGTTCATAAACATAAAATATTACATAAATTCCTTCTCAGTTTTATACAGTTTAGTGTTTTTTTAAAGACCAAGTTCACATTTATACTTGTTATTTTTTAAATATGATTGGTCAATCCAAGATTCACGTGCAGGCTGAATATGAAAATAGTCTCCACCTCGTTTCCTGTATTAGCCGCCGATAGAAGATAGATGTAGAACAGCTTGGAGTACAAAAGCCAGTCGGATCTACATTCTCACCCATCTTGGCTCGTGACAGGAAGACTGTTGATGATTTAAGCCGGGCGTTCACTGTGCAACTTTTTCACTTTTTTGAGCCAATTTTCCACTCGTGCGAGAATCCACAAGATCGGGGCGAGTTTTGCGCCGAGCAGTCGTAAAGTGTACAGGGGGTTACGAGAGGCGATTAACACCACGTGACCAGCTACCGATCAGCAATCGTGAGCTCGCACGGACTTCTGGCGTGTTCGATATTTTGCTCGTCCTTCGTGAGGTTATCGCACTGTTGAAGCGGCGCTGCGAGCAGCTGCGACCCAAAAAGTATCAGAACCGCTCACGGCGCATGCGCAATCCTGCATCAACACCACTCGCCCGCTATTTCCCTAATAACACACGTTGTTCGTTTTTATTTCTACACGTTTTTTTTACTCACAAAGACTGTCAAGAAAGCGTGTTTGTCGTGTTCACGTCAAATTAAACTGATCACAAAACACAGATTTACTTTATTTATTTCGTTTTCCTCATCCAACCCCCATAAATCCCGGTGTGGCCTCCTGCAGCACTCCCAAAGGACAACAGGCAAGATAAAAAAGTCTGACGTATTGTGTAAAAACTGCTATTTTTAGGTCCGACGTGTTGCTACCAGACGTACAGTGTGAGCAGTCAGATCGCATCTGAGAACTGGCTCGTACAGTGTGAGCACATGACTCGTGAGATCTGCTCTGCGAGGAAGTCGTACAGTTTGAGCTGAAGCTGAGTACTACGAGTGAAAAAGTCGTACAGTGTCCGCCCAGCTTTAGCATCCAGGAGAGAGTAGAGCACGTCTCGGCTAGTAGGAGCTAACAGTTAGCATCAGCAATTCCATAACATGGCAAAACTCCTCCAGGCTTGTGTTATTTGTGGAGATAAAACATCAACTTTGCAAAGCAAAAAGAGTCAGTGGTAGAGTTGCATTGCTGTTAGCCAATCAGAGGTAAGACGCCCTGACATCAGGGATAGAAGACTTCAAATCCTGCCGTGTTCTGCTCCTCAATCCTCTGGCTAACTTCTACTTCCTGAAACATGAGCACCAGAGGGTTTTTCCTCCACAGAGATCGACTCATAAGGCATTTGTTTATACTAGAGACCACTGCAGATGTGCTGAAAAAACAAGTGAACTTGGTCTTAAAGTAATAAGCCAAAACATGAAAGTACAAAACAAAGCCTTACAAGCTCTTTGCTGAAATTTCACTGGTCTTTTCTGTACGTGACAGGCTTTCCTCGGGTCTATTCATACCTTAACAGCATACTCGGTGTTGGTGGTTTTGTGGACACATCGCTTACAGACAGAGAAGGAGCCCATGCCTATGTCCTCCTTGAGTATGTACCCGTCATTGAACAGAAGGTTCTTTCCATGAAGCTGCTGCGGAAAAAAGGGAGACGAAAGTTTGAAGAGAGGCGGAGGAGTGACAGGCTGACGAGGGCGGATGACGGTGACGCTGGATTTATCTGTGGGAGCACTTCCTCTCTGGTGTCTCTAAATCTACATCAGGCAGGAAAATACTGGTACTGGTGGGCTGCTATAACCTTTTGAGCTTATATCGACACAGACATGTATCACGTGTGATTAACAGCGGACCTGGACCACGGGGTGTGGTGTGGGCTGCACTGGCTCCACTAAACCTTCTTCATCCAACAGATTTGATGCAACAAAGCTGAATCCTCTGAATAGCTGATGAGCTCCAGCACTGGGAGGCACGCCAGGAGAGTCTTAAAGAACAAAAAAAAAAAACATCAGTCTAATGAAAGAAAAGCTATAGAGAGAAAATAATCTACTGTTTACAGCACTTTGACCTCTGACCTTTCGGTGTGCGGGATGTGAACTCGGAGTCGAAGTAAAAGGTGTCATCTGGACGTGCTACAGCTGGCCTGAACGGGGGTTTTACTTCCCTTCTGAAGAGTTTCTGAAAGCAAAATGAACCAACTTTTACTAAAAAATGTAAAAAAAAGATGTTTTAAATTTTCAACAGATCCTTTTATTTAAAAAATGATCACAAATAAAATTGAAACCAGAAACTCACGTTCCAGTCTATAGTGGAGAAAAAACCGTGGCGTTTGATCTCCTCTGCACCATCAGCTCCCGATCCTACATGGATGATATTTTGCGTTGTTGAATCTTTTTTGTAAAACTGTTTAAATCATTACTTAAAGAGTTGACACCGACCCAGTCTGTTGACAGGGTTCCTCTTGAACAAAGCCCTGAGCAGCGACTGGGCCTCGACACTCAGGAACTGAGGCATTCCTAAGCGCGCCCTGTGTTTAGACAGAGCAAAGATTTCAATATGGCCACCATCATGTTTCTTTTATTCCAGTGTTTTTACTTACTTTAAAATCAGGTTCATAGTTTCTTTTCGGTCCTTCCCTTGAAACGGAAGTGCTCCTGTCAGCATCTCAAACTAACGGAGAGAGAACTTCAGTTATTTAAAGAACTAAATGAACTAGGGATGGGGGGGGGGGGGGGGGGGGGGGGGTGTCAAGAAAGCATTAAAATAGGAAGAAAACACCCAAACTGTCCTTTAAGTTTCACTTTCATTTTTTTTAGGAAGTACACGGATTAAAAACTTGACGGGGCGTATTGAGCACCGGTGCTGCAGGAGAACTAGAAACTAGAGGTGCTGAAAAAAATCGATTCAGGTCTGAATCAGGATTCTTATTTATAAAGATTCAGAATCGATTCCAAGAACTCAAATATTTGGCATGTTACAGGTTTGAGATGCACTTTTTTGATCTTTGTTAGGAGAGTCAGTACTCCGTTTACTTTTGTGGTCCCATAAATTGAGATGATTTATGTTTGAATCTGCTGATAAGAGGGCACTTGAATGTAATTTTTTCCATACTCAGAAAATAAATGAGAATATCTCAGAATTCTAAGTTAATAAACGAGTACTCAGGATTACTCAAGTAACTTGTTTCTACACATAGTATTTGACCGTATTACTTTCAAAGCTACTGTTAGGTAACTACAGATTTGTTATATTTTACAAGGTAAGCAAAAATAAATGTTGCCTTTTGGTCAAAAGATTGCTTCTGTTTACAGTTTTAGAATCACTATTTTACATTTTTGGAGCATGACCAGTTTGAAGTCAGATAAAAATGTCCCATAGCTTTAACTAACTTGTACAACAAAGTAGTTCACCCTGGAGCTGACACTCTTAGTTAATACTGATTGTGAATCGATTTAAATTGAGAACCGAGAATCGATTCTGAATCGAATCGGCACCCCAAGAATCGGAATCGAATCAAATCGTGAGTTGCTCTAAGATTCACAAATCTACTAGAAACCCCGATGTTTTGCAGTCTGTTGACAATTTCTTTGTTTATTAGCGTAACTTTCTCTGTCAGCTGGCTCCGTGTTTTGGTCTGACTTCACTGAGAACTGTGTTAGAGGCAAACTGGGGATTAATGGCGACCAGTGATTTGCTTTGTTGATGCCCAAAGGCAAAAGCTAACAGCAAAAGTAGCTTGTTTGAAGGCAGCGAACCATGGAGCTGTCCTTACCAGCATGTTGAACGCTCAGTATGCACACATGACAAGTGTCTGTAGCTCTGCCTTGGCTGTCTGGTTTAAACTAACACCAAGCTGCAGATATTTTAGCTCTCCTGAGGGGACACGTTAGCTTGCTTGGTGTCCGAGTCCTTGCCTGCCATAAATTGTGTGACGTTACTGTGTTGTTTTCGTACAAGAAACAAATATTGATATAGAGGGACTTATTGAAATGAAAACAAAACCATTTTTATTCAGTTTGAAAATCTCTATCTCAGGATGAAATTAAAAAGTCATGTTTGTTGTTTTATCCAATTTATTTCTCCTGATTCCGATCCTTCCAAAAAACGAATCGGAGCGTCCCTAAAACGAACAACTTGAAATAATAAATTCTTCTCACCATCAGTACTCCAAACGACCACCAGTCGGCGCTGTGAATGTGACCCTGCCTGTTCACCACCTCCGGAGCCATGTACTCTACAGTACCACAGAAGGAGTACGCTTTCTTTTCATGGTCGATGGCTTCTTTGCACAAACCAAAATCTGCGCGGAACAGAAACACAAAGCTCAGTCCCACAATATCAACATACGCGTGTTGCGTTAAACAACAGAAGCACTTCATCATGGGTGTTTCATGTCTGAACTTCCAGAGGGTCACCTTGGGATCAAAGGCTCGTAATGGAGATAAGATAAAGAGTAATAATTAATGTGGGGGAACAAGCACTGGGCCTGTATGGAGATATGTGCTGTCAGAAAGATAAAGCTGTCATGGAGCGATGAGTAATGAAGGTCAACGGGGCAGAGGAGATTTAAGAGTGTGTGTGTGTGAGAACAGTAGACTCACCTGTGAGTTTGATATGACCCTCCTCATCCAGGAGAATGCTGTGAAAGACCAAACTGTATATTCATTTAATCTGTAGTGGAGAAAATTTCTGCTTTAGTGGGAAAACGTGTTTTTACTTTTCAGGTTTGAGGTCTCTGTAAATGATGCCCAGGCTGTGGAGATGGTCCAGTCCTAAAGCCAGCTCGGCCAGATAAAACTTCACATCCTCTTCTGTGAACATCACCTAGGAGTAAATCATACAAGTGATAAAAAGTTGTACCAAACAGATCAGACAAAATAGATGGTTCATTTTTTAATTTAAAGCCCCAGTCAGTAAAAACAATTCAACTCTTTAGCGAAACGCAGTTCAGGGTAGGTATTGCATCTACGGTAGCCCACACACATCAAAAAGGCCATGCCAAAGCGCAAACGTGAAATGCAGAGCATTATATCTTTTATGTCCGTAAGGAGCTCCTGTATTTCAAGATGGCGCTTGACAATGGAGGGTCAACTACAGCTTATGTATGTAAAAATGTAAAATTTTACGCTAATAGGAATAAATAAAACAGATATTGATGAGAAATATTAATAAAAAAGGACAATTTTATAGTAAATAAGTAAATATATTACAGACTGTGCTTTTAGGGATTCCCCTTTACCTCTTTAGAGAGCCGTGTGAAAAGATCTCCACCTCTGAGAAAATCCAAGATCAAGTATAACTTCCCTTCAGTCTGGAATGCTACAGATGAATATTCAAATATAAATCATCAAGCATGCACAGCTCAGATCTTAACGTTAAAACTCAAACAGTAATATTATTATCTCTGTTTAAGTGATTTTAATACAGCGAGCTGGCTCACCGTAGTGCAGCTTGACAACAAATGGGTGGTTGACGTCTGCAAGGATGTTTCTCTCCATCTTGGTCCTCACGCGGTCTCTGACTGAAGGACAAGAGTAAAAAGTCAATGCATTTTTCTATAAATTCTTCATCTGTGTTATTTGAAAAGAAAATACAAGAGAAGATGGTTTGTTTCTTTTATTCTTTTAAAAAGAACCCATTTCCAATTAAGAAAATCAACAGAACTCAGAAATACGCTATGAAAAGTTTAGATAACTTCTTTTAAAGTTGCAGAAACATGTTTATCGTGTCTTGGTGACATTAACTCAAGCAATATATTTTTTTCCTGGAATTTGAAATAAAATGATTAAAAGATGTCTAGATTTGAAGACAGATGTAAAGTGAAAAAAAAAAACCAATTTGTACTGGAAATTTATTCCTGTTAATCAAATAAAAACTACATGGATTAATTAATCTGTGGAAGAAAATATGTTCTATAAATTAAGTTAAAATGCTGCATGGTGGTGCAGTGGTTAGCACTGTTGCCTCGCAGCAAGAAGGTTGCAGGTTCGAAACTCGGCTGTGGCCTTTCTGCGTGGAGTTGCGTGTTCTCCCCATGCAAGTGTGGGTTTCCTCCGGGTACTCCGGTTTCCTCCACAGATCACAACATGCCCTACAAGTTAAGAATTGTATGTCGCTTTGGATAAAAGCATCTGCCAAATAAATAAACATAAATAAAAAAATAAAAATAAACATAAAATGCATTCACACTCATTAATAAAATGAATAAGACACGCTTCTTAATTTTGATTATTTCTTTGCAGTTTTACTGTGAACACGAAGAAGCATTTCAGCCAGCACATTTTAATTAGAGTTTTGGTACATATTTTCTTCCATATTGTGAAAGAGAAAAAAAATGTTTTGCAAAAAGTGACTGATTAGAGCCGATGAAGATGTCTTAGTTGGCATTCACTTTTGATTTGCACGACCTAAGCTAACCACAACCCTCTGGGAGACCGTGTGAACAGTTTGCACGCCCTGTTGTTTGTTGAGAAGATGAGACCACATCATCTGACAACAACCCACAGAAAGCTGGGGTGGTCTTTGCTTATAGGTGACATTTTTTGGCAGATATGAAACTGAGACTAATAATCACTACAAAAATAAAAAAAGATCACAGGAAACCTTCCAAAAAACACAAGAAAATAATAGTATTATTATTAATTTTCATCACCTTTATCAGTTATGGAGGGTTATTCCAAGTGTGTGTACCTTTAAGAGTGGCCTTCTTCAGGACCTTCATGGCATAAAGCTCGTTGGCATCTGGAGGGGTCACCTTCCGTACAAGGAACACCTGCAAAACAAAAACAACCCTTATGCTTCTGGAGAGCGACCGAATTAAACAACGAGAGAAAAATATTTAAAAGTTGGACAAAGCGAGCCTAGGTGTGTTACCTTTCCAAAAGACCCCTGACCCAAAACTTTGAGCAGCTCGAACTGCGAGGCGTCTGCCTTCTCCAGAGCCCTCCTTGACCACGTGGGTGATGTTGATCTCCTTGATGTCTCCATCTTCCTACAGAGTGAAAGCACAAAGCAGGTGCGTGAGCTGTAAAAGTAATCTAAGATGGTCGATCTGCAAATAGAACATTTCTGAACAGATGCATCTTTGGGCATAAATAGAACCGTTTATCAAAATAAAAGCACAGAGAAAGAGGAAGCGCAGTAAAAAGAGAAACTGGTGTGCAAATGTAAGAGATTATGTTCTTATAAATGAGATGCATGCTATCGAGTTTCTGGAACTAATGGTGACAACGGAGTTAAATGGGAATTACCGGAGAACTCTTAAAAAGGAACATGGGTCTAGCGTTTAGTTATTTTTGGTCAAGAGCTGTTAAAACCACAGATTTTGCTCTTTGATCAAGGACTTGTGCAGGTTTATCTCTGGGTGGAGTAACGTTTGCGCTGCTGAAAGCACATAAAAATACCGTCAAAAGATAAAACAAGTTCAGAACGCTTGAGTTTGATGTTTGCAGAGCAGGAAAATATAAATGATGACTCTGAAAAAGCAGCAGTGAAAGAAGAAAAAGCTCTTTTTCACTCCAATGAAAGGATCCAGCTTGGATTTTTTTAAAACAGATTACTGCACTCAATTTTTTACATTGATTTTAGTTAATGGTCACCAGAAGGTCACCAGAAGAGGAAGCACCTACTTCCAACTCATAAACCATAGATGTATTACTGGTAACAAACAAAGGTGGATCTTCTGATGCCCAGACGAGGGACTCATGATGGGGTTTTATTTTTTGTAGCTACTTTAGATTCAGGTTTTTGTGTAATCTTTAAAAAAAATGTTACTTGTTAGATTTTAAAAACAACCACAAACCACTGAAGCCTGGATCTGTGTGACAACAGGAAACCAGCCTGTCAGCTGCACCTCGCTTCTGAACAAACATCAACAAAAACACCCTCATTTGCACTTTGCAGTGACAATGCATCTCATATTTCTTCACATAACCTAAAAAATTAGAAAACAACTCAAGTGGGAAAACGTGAAGAAGACAGACGTGAACTTGAGGAGGGATCACTTTACCGTCCACTGGTTCCTTGGTTCGGGTGAAATGTCACCGTCTGCTGCAGCTGAGGCTCTGCAGCCGTTACAGCGAGCGGGACTACCAGTCAGGGATTTGTTCTCTTCTGAACAGGTAAAGGGACAGCACGCGGCTCAGGCTTGAACTTTTTTTTGTCCTTTTCCATCTCAGCATTGTCCATGCTGTTTTACGCTCCTACCCGCATCCATCACAAGGCGACCGCCGCAGCAGCTCGCACAAATTCATCTCAGGCTCTCTTCAGTGCGAGCACGGCTCAGACTCTCTTGTGTCTGCTCCCATGTTAAAGTTGGTTCTGCAGGTGAAAGTCCACAGCATCTGCATTTTATCTACCGTCCTGTTTT